TTGTTTTCCTAAATATTGTCATAAATAGCGAGCAGCCACGCCACGACGCAGACTGAATACCCTCACTGATATGGATACAGTAACAGGTGTTTCATTTGCTATAATGCCACCGATCCCTTCCCTGAAACTATGACTACATCGTTTCATCTACAGTTACTGACTCGAAATATGCTTATTTATATTTGATGTGGTTGCAAACGTTTCTGTTTAAGTGTAATACATATTCTAAAAAGTGATTAATACCTTGCACATGGTTATACTAAATCAACACTAAATAAACATCAAAATATAAATACGACTGAAACCAAATTCAGACTATTTACATTAGCTTAGTGTGGGCCAAAAATGCCAGAGCCACAAGTATTCAAAGTTCATTTTCGTAAGGAATTCCCATTTTGCCAAGAATTACAAGGGTCGAAACTTATAAATTTTCTTGTGCTATTTCTAGCCAGGCTATCGACAGTTCGGAATATCAAATTAATATATCTTTTCCCAAAAAGGCGAAAAGTATTCGAATTACAGTCGAACTTTGTTCCTTAGACTTGAGCAAATTTCTATTTTTTCTAATAAACTCAACTCTCCATAGCCTCAAGTTCATCACTCAAGCCAATATACTCCGCTCACCTCACGAGCGCGTATGTCTGCCAAAATCAAAATCAAAATCAAAATTTAAATGAACCTTGTACCTGCGCTCTCGGTCTTAACTTGTTAATAGTCGCGCGCTTGTATTTCGTCTACGTAGATAAAGGCAGTTGTAGCTCATCAAAGTAGAAATTGATATAATGAAATGGAAAACTGAAGACATCGAAAGCCGATCGCTCAACCCAACCCATTGAGTTGGCCATCGAAATTTTGTCAGCTTATGCGATAGGCGGAAAGTAAGCAACTTCCTCATTAATCTAATAACAATGCAGCTATCTGATACTAAACTGATATCATCGATTAGATATGTTTATTTATGTATCTGCTGCCCTGCGAGCCACATAATCTATTTCGCTCTGCGCCATTTCCTGTGCCCAACTCAGCCCCAATTCGAATCAATTCTGTAAATTGAACTTGAACTAAATCTCCATTTTTTAGCTAATTAATGTCGAGCAAATCAAATATTGATGTGGGAAATATTGGAGTGGATCATTTAAGTTGACGACTCTGAAGTCCTTTTGGTCTGTTGAATTAAGATAGCAGCAGTTCAATTGGTCGGCTCTGACTGGCTACCTACGGACTCGTTTTTGGTCTGGAGCTGAGTAGATCCTGCCTGCCCATCTTCGGCTGCTGCCCATGTTGTCCTCTACCCAAAATTCTATTCTATTTGAGCTTAAGCTTAGTAACTCCAACTCCCACTCACTAAAGATTACCTCTCCCAAGATTCAATTAGTCAGTTATCTAGTTATGCTGCAGTTTCAAATGGTTTTTAATTTTATTTTGGCTACAAAACTTTGCTTTAATAAAATGTTAAACGCATTTTCGACTCATATTTTTAGCTGTTGCTCTTAACCCGAACTTTAAGGTCTTTGCCCAGTTAGACAATTTATTATTTATTAAGCTTAAGATGGCTTTAGACCTTTGACTCTCTCTAACATGAATTTTTAATTATTTTTTTCTCGCGCTGTTTTCTTTATTTTTATTCTACTTGACTCGATTTCTCACTCACTGAAATTCTTTCGCAGTTTAATGTAATTAACATAAATTTAACAAATATTTACAAAGTGCTTTGACTAAAATAAGATAGCAGCTGCTCTGCTCTCCCACTCTAACTCACTCTCGCTCTCTCTCCCTCTCTCTCTCTGTGTGTTTGGCTCGACTTAGTCTGAGTCTTAATAATATTTAGTTATCTAAATGAGAGAATATGATTAAGTCTTTATAGAGTATCTAAGAGTGCGTTTATTTAGTTATATATCATAAAATCTCTAAAGTTTTTGAAGGAATTTGAGTTTTAACTAAATGCAGCTAAAATTGTTTTACAACTTGCAGTAATTATAGCTCCGCCAAGCAGCGCAAAAAAACGTATTTTATTAAAAAGTAATTCAAATAAACCAGAATAACTGGAACAATCTAGATAATCAGCGCAGCAAGAAAGCTATACTTAAATTTCAGAATTATAGCAGTGCTTATTGAGCCATATACACGCAGAGACGTCTACAGAGCGAGGGGAGACAGATCCATTGATGAATTGATTTAGTCAATTGACGATGATTTATGATGATCATGTAGCTAATCTTAATTGTTGTTGGCTACTCGAGTTGTTGGCCTCACAGCTGGCACTAAACTGGTTTTTAGGGTCTAAACTCCGGCCAGCCAGCCAGCCAGCCAGCCAGACACAACGTGTGTTCCAGCTGATTGCAAGATAAGTCAACTATTTAGCCAAAAAGACTTGGCCAGCAAATATGGAGGTCAAAAAGTTACTATTTTAAAGGCAGCAGCGACTCGGGCGTGGCACTTGCCAAAACAAAACTTGACTATTCATGAAACTCTGCTCTATTTGCAGTGCTCTCTCCCGCTCTGTGTGTGCTTGTTGCTAATATTCTCTATTTTCTTTATCTTTACGGTGCTTCTAGCTGGCTGCTTGAGATGTAAGCGGAGAGACGGCCAATCCAGCCAATCAATAGATCGCCGGTTGACGCGCACACCCAAAAAATGTTTCAATTATGTTACCCACAACAAGCGCACAGCCACAACAACAACAACAACAACAGCCAAATAGAAGCAGGAATTCCAGTGTCAGCACTAAAAGCCACAGCTTAAGCAGCAGCAGCAGCAGCAGCAACCAACACTCGGCAGCTACATTGAAACTCAAGAACCAAACCAAACAGCGACCAAAACCAAACCGAAACCGACAACAAATTAGCATAGCTATAGCAGCAAGGGCAGCAGCAGCAGCAGCACAGGAAACAGGACAGCGCCATGGGCTGCTCGCCGAGTACATTGCCCAACTCGTCGTCGACGGCAGGGGGAGCGGGTGGCGTGGGCAATGCGCCTTTGCCACCGCTGGATGCCAATGAAAAGGATGGCAGCTTGCTGTTCTGCATCAAGCTGCGGCGCAGCCGCATGCGTCGCTGCAGCTGCGGCGCTGTCACGCTGCAGAATCAGAACGGCGACGGCAGCACGGGCAGCGCCACCTGCGGCGACAACATGATGTGCAACCAGGGTCTGCTCAATCCGCTCCAGACCAAAAACGAGTCCGACTACGAGAAGGTGAGTGCGCCAACTGTGGCCAGTCCGAGCCGACCACCAACCAATTGAACTGCATCTATCTTAATCCCCGCCTGCAGCTCAGCACTGGCAAAAAGGACTCCATTGTGACGGTGGCAGCTCTAGGCAACTTTACGCACAGCGTTGTACGCCGTGCCACGGGAACGGGCAGTAAGTACTCATCCAATACCAAACCAATCTAACATGTTCCAACTGCCCCAGCTTAGCGTAAGCAGTGTGCACAGTGCAAACACATGAAAAAGAGATTTGTGCCCTAAGCCACGGCATAAGGAAAGGCTTTCAAATTGCGCCATTTTAATATGTCAAAGAGATTTCCAATCAATTCAGAAATATTTTATGGAAAAAAGGGCTTACTGCAGCTGGAGTCTGTCTATAAGCGAATATTATTAAATTAAATTCATTTATGGTCTGCCTCGCAATGTTAGCTTAGGACTGAAAACACTAAAATCAATATTGCAATGCTCAGTAAATTACTTGAGCTCTTCAAGGACTCGTATCTTGGTCAGCTTATGGCGACAGATGAAGCTTACAGTGGCCACTGTTATTTGATAAGAGTTGCTTATAGTTATAGAGAAAGAAAATCACATATATATATACATAGATATATATATCTTATATATAAAAGAAAGTCTTATTAGATGTAGATCAGCCAGCTGTGAGCTGAAGTCAAGCTCGTTCTAGTTACTTATAGTTATATAGAAATATATTTCAAAGCAAACTTGGGTTAATATAGCTTACACATAGATATAAATATATATATAATATATAACCAAAGTAATATAACCAAAGATATAGATCAGTCAGCTGTGAGCTGAAGTCAATCTCTATAAATCCCTATAAAGCTCGCTCTAGTTACTTATAGTTATGTAGAAATATATTTCATAGCAAAGCAAGGTTAACATAGCATAAATATAGATTTATATATATATATATATATATATATATATATATATATATATATCTAATATATATACAAGCCTTAGTAGTTATAGATCAGTCAGCTGTAAGCTGAAGTCAAATTTAATCTCACATCAAAGCTTCTGCTTCAGCTTTAGCTTTTATAAAACTCCTTCTAGTTACTTAAATTTATATAGAAATATATTCGAAATCAAACTAGGGTTAATATAGCTTATAGATATAGATATAAATATATATATAATATATAACCAAAGTCTTAGATGAGTCGGCTGTAAGCTGAAGTCAAATTTAATCTCACATCCAAGACTCAACTTCAGCTTCAGTTTCCTACATAAAAAGCAGACTCTAGCCGCTTAGGGCATTCAGTAGTCGCCGCAACTCACACAGCTGACTGCTTGGAGAACATCATTAAAAAGCGCTAAGGGCTAGCAGTAATACGATCTGCGACAAGTCAGCTGGCGCTAGTGTAGGTCTCTGGTAAATCCAGGTGCAGCTGTTTTGTGTAGACTCCAATTAACGGCTCGCCTGAAGAGCTTGAGCTGCGCCTATCAATGGTGCGGCAGACGGTAGCAATTGTAGCCAGAGCGCGAGAGAGAGAGAGAGAGAGAGAGTGAGTGTGAGTAGGTGAGGGAGGGAGCGACGAAGCGAGAGAGAGGGAGGCAGAACGTGAGTGCGCTTTTGCGCTGTGACTGAAACTTGATCGCGCTCAGCGCTCAGAGCGATCGGCTGAGAGCGACGACGCCGTTTATCAATGTGTGGTGCGGCGACTGCGCCCGTGCCCCACTGCAGCCCAGCCGCGCAGTTGAATTCGCCTCGGAGCTGGCAAACGCAACAGCTGCTCGCCATTTATGGAGTCAGTTGCTTGGAATTGGTTCGCCGTGTCGGTTGTAAAACGCTTTCGTAACGTCGGGACGTTAGCTCGCCAAAGGTCTGCGGCTCTGGCACTGTGTCTGCTTCGGCATTGGCTTTAGATTCGTTCGCCTGCCTCTCACTGCACAAATAATAATAATAAATATATGATAATACACAAAATATACAGCGTAATCGACGTACGCACATGTGAAACAACTGCTCTGGCTTCGCCCAAGTCGCTCGTTATGCAAATCGAGCACGCAGAAGGTGAAGGCGTTCAAATTCGAATTCAAATTCAAATTCAAATTCAAACTGAGATTCAGATTCGGTTCGGGCGCGTATCGCGGGCGTGTCGCCAACTGGTCGCCAGCAGCAGCGGCAACAGTTGCAGTTGCAGTTGCAGTTGCAGCAGTAGCTCGTTGCACTGGCCTAATGTGACGGCACAAATTTGGCCAGACTGCAACGCGTATTAGCCAGGGCCAACCAGTTGAGAACCAAAATCGAATGCAATTAAAGCTTATGACACTACCAACAACAACAACAACAACAACAGCTGTGTGACACACAAAATAAGAAAAAAGTAGCTGAAAGATCGCTGCAACTGGCGTGTTGTGTTGTGTTGTGTGGAAAAAAACAGCTCGGCGCCACATAGCGAGCCAAAAAGCAAAAGAATACAGCAAGACAACAGCAGCAGCAACAACAACGCCAAATAAAAAAAAATATAGCAACAATTTATACGCCGTATCGAAAAGTGTTAAAATTCAAAATAAACTTCACAACTAAGTGTGCCAATAACAACAACAACAACAGCAGCAGCAACTGTGCTAGTTGCTCACAGCGAGTAGAATACGATTTGTCTAACATTCTAGCAGCTCCACAGCTATATAGTATGTATCTGTATCTATGGCAATTGCTGTGTATCTGGCTGGCTGCTCATTCTTGACTTTGGCTGCACAGTGCCTGCACCTGGCGAAGGTGTTGGCGCAAAACTAGCTCATTAACATGTTGCGGCTGTCAAGCTAACTGCCAGCTAACAGCTAACGGCTAACGGCCAACGGCTAACGACCCAAAGCGCTCCAATAATGCAAACAACAGCTAATGAGAACAAAACACCAGAATGACAAAAACATGCTTATATAAATTTCTGTGTGTATATATTTTGTATACAACAGCGAACAGAGCACACACACAGCAAGAATTTTCTAGCGCAGTTGATTATTAATTTTAGTTTATTTTTATATATATTTTTTTTTTTAATTTTATATTTTTTTTATTTTTATTTTTTTTCACTCAGAGATAAAAAAGATTCACATGACAATCTGGTTTGCGTTACACGCGACTCTGTGACGATCTTTCAGATTCAGCATACACACGCACACACACACACACACACACAATCGAAACGCTCAATTACTAACACAGACGCACACGCAGCGGCGTTGCCAGAGCGCACAATATGCGCGCGATCGACGATCGGCAAACAATAACAATCGCACGAACGCCCACGCAATGGCGCCAAAACATCAATCAAAGCCAAGCAGACAATGGCCGAGGCACACACACAAAGTACACAAAACACAGCTGAATTGCAGCAGAAATGTTGCCAAATTATGCTTGCCTAATAGCCTCGCCTCGCTGCCTGGCCGAGCAGGTGTCAATGGCCAAGTGCTCTGCGCGTTTATCGCTGCTTCGCATTAATTACTCAATCAGAATTGAAATCAATTGAATTTGAATTTGAATTGATGCGATTAGCTGTGCCCGCTAGACCTTTAAAACTATAAATCTCAGAATCACAAAATCTCGAAATCTCTCGACATCTCTTTCAACAAATTGTCGCCTTTGGCTGCTCCGCTAGCCACGTGAAGCGCCGCGACCTGGCAGTTTCTGTCATAGATTAGATTAAAGCGCAGAAAGTCCGCTCGCTGCGAGAGAGTTCCACAATTGTTGTTGCCTGTTCGTTTGCACAACCAACTGGCCGCCAGTGTCAATACTGGACTTGTCCCCTATCAACTATGAACGCTGAACGCTGAACGCTGAACGTTGATGATCGCCGTCAGATAGATAAAGCCTCGTTGTTTGGTTTCGCATTTCGGGTTCAGGCGAAATGTGAGCAACGTGCCCAGAAGCAGGCCACCTCACTAACTGTACTCTAGAACACGCTCGCTCCCACTAGTTCAATTCCCTCACATATATATATACATATATATATATATATATATATATATATATATATATATGGCAGATGTAGATTGTGCACGCGTTTTGTTTTCTACTTGATTATTTGTAACTGTGTCTCTGTCTATGCCTCTGTGTGTGTGGGTTACTGAAAACGCATTATACGCCTGTGTTTCAGTATCCGTATCTCTATGTGTACGGGGGCCTAAACATCTGAATACTATGAGCAAACTTGCCTGATATTATCTTATCAAAAATTAATTGGTTGTCATGACAACGAGCAAGGCGCAAAAGACACTCTTGGCCAGCAGTGACCGGCTTATGCCATCCGCCGAATGCTCTGCACTTGCAATTCCAATTTGAAATAGTTTTGGCTATGTCCCGGAATGTGGTCGATAACATGTCTCGATCTAATTCGACAATAATATAGCAAATACTTTCATGTGCCGAACTTGAAATTTTCATTTGATTCTAGCAATTTTTTATGGTCTAAAAATTATTTGTATTTGTTTTTATTTTTCTGTGCGCATTTCGCTTCCCAACGGAAATTGTTAACAAATGTTGCTTTGTTGTTGCCTCGGACAGAAAAATATTTACGCGATTCGCTGCGGATGTTAAAGCCTTTGAAAATCACGTCTTGGCCAACTACAAGTGCAGCCAGACAAGACTTCAAATGTATGAAAAAATGAGCATTTTAATTACATTTTTATAATCCCCTTTAAGAAGTCATAATGCCTAATGGGCTCTAGTATCAAGTGGCATAATGTGATTTATAATTGTGCCGTTCAAGTGTGAGCCATACAAATTCCACTCAAGCATAGCCAAGTCTAGAAAATATGTATAAATCAAAGAAATTAATTTCTATGAAACTGGAAAACCAATTATTGAAATACCTGGAAATTCGAGTGAATGGCCAATTTCAACGAAAGCAGCTTGCATGAGCAGCGTCAAGGCTTGGCCTAAATATTAAATTATGCCAGCTTGAGCAAAAACTTCAATGGACCAATCCTTTGCCTTAAAGTCGACTTATTCTATAGATATATATATATATATAAATAGGCTTAATTATTAATAGAGCTCTTCAGTTTCTCTAAATTCAATCAACAAAGGAAAAAAGCTGCTGACTGTTGGCTATGGCCAAAAGGCCGAGCGCTTGGCGTGTAGCGCTCAGTGCGGTCGCTGGAGGTTTCAGAATCCGTGCGAGAATTATCATCTGGCAAACAGTTTTTCATAACGGATTAGTGCGGACGTTTCGCCGTTGGCCAGGTCTAGTCAGTTCCAACCAGTGGCCCGCAACGCTCTGCTCTGCTCTGCTCTGCTCTGCTTGTACTGTGCTGTTGCTACGGATTCCTAATTTAACTTTGACTAACTGCAATTTGAGTTTTTCATTGAAGTTTCGTTCGTTTATTTTGCTTGCCGTACGCAAATAACGGTAGTCGCAGCCGTATACGTTGCCATAACTGTGCTCCTGTTTGTCGAGCAGTTAAATTTTAATATAGCCCGCAGTGTTTGCACAGCGTCGTGGCCATGTTGCATACTCGTAAATAAGCCAAGTGCTAATCGATCAAAATCAAGCGCACCTTCAACTCCAGCAACGCCAGCAACGCCAGCAGCCGCACCACCCCACCCACAGGCCACCTGGCATCAGGCACACTTTACACACTAATGAGCCAGTAACTGTTGCCAGTGTGTGTCCGTGTGTAATATGAGCCTTAATGTGAGCAAGTGTTGTAAGTATTTGCAGCCAGTTCCATTGGCGCCATTTCCGCAGTCGTTCATCAAGAGACGCTTTAGATTTAAGTACTCGTGTGCAGCTCGCTGTGTGTGTGTGTGTGTGTGTGTGTTGGTGTGTGGGTGTGTGCTCTGCTCCAAATAGTTGAGATTCAAATGACAATTAAACATAGTCATTGAGTATCTGAGCATGGCCACGACGAAAGTTTAAGCCAAAACCGAAACCAAAGCCAAAACCAAACCCTGTTGCTTATTGCTGGCAACGTCAGCGGGCGGCTACGGCTGGCTGCTACTGCCGTTGCCGCTGCTGCGGCTTTTATCTAAACAATTTATCGATTTTCGTTTAGATTACAACGCGTACCGCTAGCCAGCGCAACTGAGGCAAGCGGACGCTAACAACGATAAGATACACACAGGCCAAGCCAAGCCGAGCCAGGCAGGCAGGCAGGCAGGCCATGCCAGGCAGCATATATTTATTTGAATATACGCAAATATTTTCTCTATATACATAAGTGCGAGTACATGCTCATACACACACACACATAAAAAAATTATATATATATATATATATAATGATATAAGCACGGGCAGCGTACTGGCAGCTCAGTTGAGTCCCGCATGTTTATGTTTCAGGGCTATTTTTGTTCATAAATACTCATAGATACTATGAGAGACATAGTTATGCATGTGGAGCAGGTTATCATTACGCACTAATTGTCTGAAATCAATGCCAGCACAGCCAGATAAACAGACGGGCAGCCGAGCAGTCGAGCAGTCGGTTTCTCGGGCAACAGCAACAGCAGCAGCTACAACAAAATAAATGACAAATTAACACAGTGCCACGAAAATAATCAAAAGCGATAATTATGTTGAATATTTGTAGTTAATTTGCAAAGTCAGCGAAAAAATACGGAAAACACAGAGAAAAAATAAAAACAATATAAAAAACAACAACAACAATAAGAACGAAACCCAAACACCGCACAGCAACCGCAACGGCTAAAAGCCAAACAATGATTATATCTAGCCAGCCAGCGAACCTCTCCGGGACATCGTCGGCCCACATGAGCGAAGAAGGCGTTGAGAGCGACTGCAGTTGTGTGGGTGTGGCCGTCGCTGTTGGCGAAAGCGCGGCGACGACGACGGCGGGGGCGGGGACGGGGGCAGGCGTTGGTCTAATGATGGGCAGGGCGGCCAGACAAATGCAAACGCATGCCATGGAGGCAGAAAAACCACCAACGCCACCACCGCCGCCTACACCAGCCACAGCAACAACAACAACAACAACAACAGCAGCCAAAACAACAACACACAGAGCTTCATTAACGCGTCCGGCCTCCGAGTCCGAGCTGCTAGTGGGTAAGCGGATTGTCTTGGCACAAGCTGGTGGGAGGGGGATTGGCTGGGGCGCTGAACGTGCGTGTGCCTGTTATAAAGTGTTTTGTTGAAATGCCAACGCTTATAATTAAATAAAACGTGCGACTAGACTAGACTGAAGATATGAATGGGCGGCGGTAGTCTTCAGCTGCCGTTTGATAGCATCTCTCACTCTCTCTCTCCCTCACTCTCTCTGCGGGCAGCGGGCAGTTGTGAACGCCAACCTAAAAGTAGGCAACACTTTTGCCAACGCAAGCCAAAAAACGTAGCATGCTTTTCAGCGCTGAACTTTTGATGCCATCGTAATATGATTTTTGTCTTTGCAGGCACTGGCACATCGGGCACCAGCTCCTCCGGTGGCGGTCGTCCTGGTCATCGCAAGTCCTCCCTGGCACTGGCACTGACGCCCGAGGATGACTCAATGGACGTGTATCAGGTGAGCATATCTCTATACCACACACGCACGCGCACACACACACACATACATATACAGATAGTTTTTGCGATGCTGCTGATTAAGTGGTCTTTTGGCCACTCTTGTTTTGCTGGCCCTGGGCCAGCGCTTTCAGTTGGCCGTTTCTTTGTTGTTGTTGTGTCTTTTTTTGTCGACAACGCACATGTGTGTTACGTCTTTGATAAGATATCTTATCATCGCTCGTTATATGATGGTAGCTCTCGCCAAAGTACGTTTTCTTTTTTGCTTTACATTTTACTCAGCTGCGCTTCTTTAAATAGCCGCTCATTTACACTGACTGAGCATTGATTCGCGAGAGGACGCGCGCCTGTGTGTGTGTGTGTGTGTGTGTGTATTGAAAAGAGAACAGCACTCGCGTGTGTGTGCGTTTATTTGCCATTGAGTCTCACATAAACAATGTGCCGCCAGAGAAATCAAATCAATTAACATTGAAGGTGGGAAATCAAAAAGTAAAGAAATAGATTAACCCACCGCATTGCCAGCTACTCGTAGCTGTCGCCCCGCTGTCGAGCCAATTGACTCAGTCGGTAGTCAGTCAGTCAGTCGCGTTTCGACCGCAAAACCTGTGAAATATTCAATTTCTAGACGTTGACCATAGCTCACGCTCACGACTGGCAGCGCAGTGCCCCATATTGCCAAGACTAGTTCGACTGGATTAATTAAATCTCAATTTGATAAGTGGAAATCTTTGCATTTCGAGACATTTTAGTTACCTTTTTTCTGTGTCTTTCGGACATAATATGTGCCGCTCTGCTGCTTACGCAAGTGCTCTGCCCAGATTACTGTTGTTTCTGCTGCTGCTGCTGGCATAGAAGGACATTTGGAGTATTGCTTGAGAGTCGAGTGTCGAGTGCTTTTGTCGTGCGTATTGAGATATTGTGAAGAGCTGTGTGGACGCAGTGAGTGAGTGTTATTGTATAATTAGCAGAATGCGCAATTGTTTGCCAAAAATTTTTCGTACTAAATCATCGTCGTCGGTGTCGTCGGCGTCGTCAGCCAGAGCCGCGGCCGTCCATTCAAATGAATTGGACGCGGACTCCGACGCGGAACGCTATGTCGTAGCAAAGACAAAAACTACTGCAACAACAACTACATTAAAAGGGGCTGCTGATCAACGGCTCGATAAAAATGCCAATAAAAAGCTGCATCAGCAGCAGCAACAGCAACAACAACCGCAACAGCCGCCAGCCACAACGACGACGACAACGTCGACGACTTCAACGTCAACGACGTCGTCCGCTGATGACGTCGATAAGAACCGGCTGATAAGCGCTGACAAAATAGCTAATTCTACTAGCTTGGATTTAGAGACAAGCAACAACAGCCACAACCACAGTCAGAGCAACAGCAATAGCAACGGCAACGGCAACGGCAACCAAACAGCGACAAATGGCAGCATCCGCCAAGTGCACGACACGAATCCGACCTCGGAAATGAAGGTGGCTTGCGGTGAAATTTTATTACCAGCGCCAGTGCCCGTTCCGTTGTCATTGCCATTGGCTGTGCCAGCGCCAACGTCAATATCAGTGCCCGTGTTGCCAGGCAACTCCAGCAAAACGCCCGAGCAAATGGAACGGGAGTACGAGGCAAATGAGGCGGCCGAGGGCAGGGATATAATGACGCCACTGCTGCGTAGTACAAGGTCATTGAGCATGGCCTTCGCCAGTGGTGCTGGTCCAGGTGGTGGAGGTGGCTGTGGTGGCGGCGCAGCTGGAGTGGGTCGTATTATGCAGCCGGAAATAGTCGAGGCCATACGCAATCTGGACACACAGGCACTGCGTCTCAACAACCTCACACTGGAGGACAGAGTAAAGCTAACACAGCGCCAGGATGCCAAGGCGAAGGAAAACAATGATAACGTTACGCTACGTCCGAAGGTTTTCACGTTTGATCGCCAGACGCACAGCCTCTACGAGCGGCGGCTGCACAAGGGCCCGAAGCTGCGCCTGTGGGTGGGCAACGGCAAGAAGCCGTCGCCGCAAACTGAAGAGGATGAGTTTAAATCATTTCAGGTATTGGATGACAAGCATTATAATAATTGCGACAGTCTGACAGCGTGAGCCATAAACCACAAAGAAGTCACCTCTTTTTTATTTATTTAGCCGATAGGCCAGGCCAAGATAACTCAGCTAACCGACAAGGCAGGCAGCCAGTCGCAATTGTCACAGCTATTATCAGTGCAGCTCTGTGTTGTGTCCATGATTCAAATTCACCTCATTGATTGATGTTGTCCCTTCCGGAAGCCATCAACAGTTCAGGTCTTGTGCCCAACTACGACAAGTCACTTTGATTCATGTATATAAATTTAGAGCAGCAATTCATATGAATTCCATGAATGAATTACGCTGGAATTTCAACATATTACATAACATATAACAGCGAAAGGTTTTATATTATTCTAATGCATTTCATTTGAAGCGTGTTCAACATCAAGAAACTGTTTATCAATTCATTAGCTGAAATATTGATCAAATTTTGTCTGATTGCGTCGATTGTGTTTATTGAATGAGATAGCAAGTGTGCATTGCATATTCTACTATAAACTTACTTATTTATGCGTGAGCAAAACAAAGGCCAAATAAGTCTCAAAAGCCAATTAAATCAGAATCTCAAGTAGTCTGAGCAGCTCAAGCGGGCCTCTTCCCTCATGTATACCTTTCAGTGTTATAGCAAATTATCAAAAACAAATTGGATTTTCGTTGCTGGAAGCTGGCAGCTAATCTTAAGCGTAAATTGCTTAAAAATTACTTTTTTTTCTTGCGAAAGTAAATTCATTTTTGGACAAGTTGAGGCTGTACAGGCTCAACGTGTCTTCGCATAGCCAGTTTATGGATATCGATTTTAAAATCAACGCTTATCAGTTGTCTTTTTCCCAAAGACGGTTATAAATAGTTTCGAATTTGGTTCCGTTTGATGTGAGCTTGTGTTTTCATTATTGAATTGACACAGGGAAAGGCACGTACAGCGCGTGGCTCTCAATGTGAGTGTGTGTGTGTGCGTGAAATCCCGATTTTCACATATCGCATTTATTCATACGAGCATAATAAATCTGCAGGCCAAGTCACCAATACGGCAAATGGCGCCCCAACAATTTCCGTCGGGCACAAGCAATTTTATTTTAATTTATCATCATTTTAGCGACACATACACGCTTCGCATATTGTACGACACACACACACACACACACACGCACACACTCCCCCGCACACACATTGGTAAACTGACACGACACAGACAGAAGCCGAGTTAAGCCCTCTTATTTTGATGGCAAAGCCAGCGCTGTAGATTTTTATTAAATTTTACACGTTGCTTCACCTGCTGCTCACCTCTTGCTCGCCTCGCACTCACCTGCTTTAACTTCTGTTGCAGCGAAATCTCATGGACTTGAAATATCCAACCGTGCTACCACCGAATCCTCAACTTAAGGTAAGCTGACACGTGCCACTGTTCCATTCGGCATACCTGATGCCAACTTACCTTCCTGTCCAATTTGACTAATGCCCAATCCAATGTCGATTCGGTCCGCAGGCGCTTTTAGTTTTTCACAAATCGGATAGCATCTGCGAGGTGGTCACCTTGGCCTGCCAGCGCCATCAGCTGGACGTAACGCTGGTTAAGTCCAAGGAGGAGGCGCTCGAGACCCTGCACAAGTCATATGCCACAGCGCAATGCTATCACCTAATTATAATTGATGCGCGCTCCACGAAAGGTCTCGATGCCGAGCACATTGCAAGGTGAGTGCCGGCGACGTTGCGTATACGTGATGTCAGCTGCCCGAGGGCAGCTAAAACTTATCACTTAAACTGATGCCACTTTCTCTAACATTCTCACCTGCCCCCCACGCACACACACTAGAACAATACGTCACACACACGGACATCATCTAACGACAATAATTGCCGTCTGCAAAAAGAGGTAGGTAGAGCGCTGAAGTCAATCAATCCACCTGCTGCCACTAGCTAAATGTCTCTTTCAGTTTCTTTGAGAAGGATGATGCGCTAATTGCTCTATTGGACGCTGGCGTTAATAGAGTAAGTTTTCCTCTCGCTTGGCCGCAATTAGCCCACTCAGTCACCCACTTTCTGATTACGCCCGCAGTGCATAGCTGAGACGACCAATCTGACCCTGTGCAGCGTGGAACTGAAGCAGATACTGCACTCGATCATACGGCCACATAATGTGATGTCCACTCAACAGGTAAGTGAAACACGCAATTCGCAACTCGCAACTCGCAACTCGCAGTTCGTAATACGCAATCGAGTTAATGCCATGTCCGGGGACGCATTAATTCAATTAAACTGGCGTCGCTGTTGCTCTAATCAAATTGTAAATGTTAACCAGAAGCCCGCCTCTTGCTCCCTTCCGCACACAGGCACTCTACACGGCACTGCACCGGCTGAAGGAGGTGGTGCTCATCACGGACGACGTGCTGCGCATACAATATGCGAACCGGGCCACAGAGCGACTGCTCAACATGCGGCTGGTGAGTGACTCATGCAACAAGCACTAATGCGCCCTGGGTGCACACAGACAGACACACATGCCACACAGGCATTAATGCGATTTGTATTTGAATGCCCAACAACAGGATGAAATAATTAGCAAGCCATTAGGCGACATCTTTGTCTCCGACCTGTCCACCATCAGCGAGCAGGGCAAGAGCATCAAGGAGTTTGATGGCATTCTAATGGTGCGCCGCAAGAATCAGGAGAGCATTCCCATGCACGTGCGTGTCGTGCCCGTGGCCTGCATTGGCAGGTAAGTGCAAAAGCTTTCAACTCTTAACAGGGTCGAATTGATTCCATTTGAACATTTTCCCCTTTTCCCCGTGCAACTGCAGTGCACCCACGCATCTGATTTTCAACTTCGATATACCCGGCGGCGGTATGGACTTCATTGCTACGCTGCCGCAGCCGAAGGAGGCGCCACGGGGCTCTCTGCACTCGGTGCGTCGCTGCAGCTTCGATGTGCGCTCCATCGCGTCCGACGGACTGCGTCGCACCAGCCTGGCCAAGCTGACGTCGCTGCCACTGGAGGCGCCCATCACCAAAGTATGACTCCATTTTGTACGCCCAATTGGTTTTGACTAAACTGTTGACCAACCCACCCAATCCAATCCAATCCACCTCATCTGACAACATATGACTGCTTTTTGTGCCAATACTAAAATATTGTCCGTGTCCGCGTCCGTGGTGTGTGATTTCTGTGTGTGTGTGTGTGTGTGTGTCAGTCATAATGTTCCACCATTGTTAGGTACTAGCACTGCAGCATCAGTAGCAACTACCAGCTCCCACAACATCTGCCACCACGCACATCAACAACAGAGCACACACACACACTCCGACACTGCCAACGATCCATATTGAAGGCGTTAGAGCTATGCCGATCTGAAAGGCTGAAGATAGGAAGATAGAAGGTATTTGCAGTTGTTAGATTAGTAGAAAGTGATTTTAGCATACGCTGGATCTGCTTAAATTAACGGAAATTGAAATTTCAAATAGATTTGAGTGAGCTTTAAGGCATATTCCTTGTAGGAGCAGAAAATTAGAATTTTGCCTCGAATTACAATTTTTAGACGAATCAAAGCTTAGCTTTAAGCAAAGTAAATATTTTTTATAAAAATTTGTGTAGTAGAAACAACTCAATGTTGTGGCAGATCTCAGAACTTGAATGTCTTCATATTAAGCACATATTGCGTATACGCCCCTTTGAGCAGCTTGAACTAATATCAATAGTATTTACATTTATGAGCTTAGCTATTCTATTACTTCAAGAAAACTGTCAAATATATATAGAAAATCAATGCTCAATGGCAAGAATTGCGTTAATGAAGCCCAAAATCAATGCTCAATGCCAAGAATTGAGTTAATGAAATCCCAATTATAAGTTAAAAAGGTCAAGTAGACAGATGCTGCAAGTCCATTAAATGACTTTTGTATAAGCACAGTTCAGTTCAGCTACATTGAGCTTTCAGTTCAAGTACAGCTTATATAGTTCCAGTTCAAATACAGTTCCAGTTCGAGCATAATTTCCGCTTAGTTGATCTGCGATGCACAACGCTAATGGAGCCAGCAGTTGGGGATGTCTGGCCAGCGCATATATGTGGCTTAATTATTCATACGTATCTAATGGCTCGGTTTTTGGCACATACTTGATAATTGATTGATTTAACGCTACTAATCCCATACTGAGTCCACCAATATATCAATAACAGACGACAACATAACCAAATTGCACAACTAAAACTATTGTTTTTACATTGATTCTCTTTTTATCTCTTATATTTGTTATGTTCTCTTTTACTTTTATGTTTTGTGTGTACTCGAACAAACAAACAAACAAAATATCCAATAAACATTATTGTACATATGAACTGGTTCCATTCGCTCGCACGTTCGCTCGCTCGCTCGCTCGTTCGTTTTGCTCGCTGCGCGTCGCTTGCAAAAAACAAAAAAAAAAAATACAAAAAAAAAAATAAATAAAAAAAATACAAAAAAATATAAAAAAAAATAATCAACAAAATCTGTTCAAAACCAACAAAAAAAACCAACGCACACGCACTTTAGATAATCAATTTACTATCACAAGTACAGGAGAATTGTTCGGCCGACGAGGCACGCCTCATAGACAAAGTCTTGGACTTCCTCAAGCGCGAGGGACTCTACAGTCCCCAAATGAAAGAGATACGCACAGATGATCCCATAGCCACCGATCTCATTGGTGCCCTCCTGACGGTAAGTAGAGCCTGTGACCCCAAATGATCTACTAATGGAATCGTTGTCAAATCAGGGTCCCAGTGTCTACTCGTCGCGTCGCAGCTCAAACGACTCCATCATTCGCACCGGCAACTCGACGCGCACAGCCACCATAGTACCCGCCAAGATGAAGGTAGACAGATCTGGAACAAGCTATATATAGCTTGCTTTATAGATTCGATTTAATGTCTTATTGCTTTGCTCGCAGGCCAATCCCATTATCATGGAACTACTTGAAGAATCTCTTAAATGGGACTTTGATATTTTCAAACTGGAAGAGATCACCGACTACCATCCGCTGCTGTACTTGGGCATGGAGATGTTCCGACGCTTCGATGTCTTCGCCACGCTGAACATCGATGAGAACGTTTGCAAGGCTTGGCTGGCCGTCATCGAGGCACACTACCACAAGAGCAACACATATCACAACAGTACACACGCCGCGGACGTCATGCAGGTGTGTTGGGTCTTCATGCACGTCTGCTCCGTTCAATAGTTCTATAACATCAAACTCTTCCAATTCGCAGGCAACTGGCGCATTCATTACACAGCTGGCCAGCAAGGATATGGTCATGGATCGCATGGACGAGGCAACGGCTTTGATTGCAGCAGCAGCTCATGACGTCGACCATCCGGGTCGCTCCTCCGCCTTTCTCTGCAACTCGAACAATCCACTGGCCATATTGTATAATGATCTGACGGTGCTGGAGTCCCACCATGCTGCCATCACCTTCAAGCTGACCCTGGGTAAGTGAACGCAGAAAATTGAAGTTGAAATCCTTATGCTGACACCTGGTATGCCGGCAGGTGATGACAAGATCAACATATTCAAAAACTTGGACAAGGAGACGTACAAATCGGCGCGCAGCACCATCATCGATATGATTCTGGCCACGGAGATGACGCGTCACTTTGAGCACTTGGCCAAGTTTGTGAGTGTCTTTGGCAATGAGATGGAGCCGCGCGAGGTAAGCTGAATACGTCATACTCCCGAGTCCAAACCCCGGATTTATCAATCCTCAATTTACTGCAGCTGGTGCAATCGGAGGAGGAGACATCCATTCTCATGCGCCGCATGCTCATCAAGGTGGCCGATGTGAGCAATCCAGCCCGTCCCATGCAGTACTGCATCGAGTGGGCGCGCCGCATTGCCGAGGAGTACTTCATGCAGACGGACGAGGAGAAGCAGCGGCACATGCCCATCGTGATGCCCATGTTCGATCGCGCCACCTGCAGCATACCAAAGAGCCAGATTGGTTTTATCGAATATATTATACAGGATATGATGCATGCCTGGGACGGTGAGTTCGCTCAAGTCTGCAATGATATTTGAGTAATTGAAATTCGCTTCGATTTCAGGCTTTATTGATATGCCTGAGCTGATCACGTGCATGCAGATCAACTACTCACAGTGGAAGAAGTATGACGAGCAGGGCGTGAATACGCTAGCCGATATTATGGCCAAGCAGCCGCCTGTGGGCAACAAGTCGTCGAGCTCTAAATAGCATACGGCTTTCCGGAGATTATTCTCGGGTCTACTGAAGCCGCTGCCGGCCCAGGCGCCTGGCACATCCACAATTGGCGAGAACGAAATGGAGGATATGCTCTAGTGCAGGCGCAGCCGGACCCAGAGCCGCGGCTTACGTCGCTGTCTCTCGGCATAGGTCTCGTTCTACTTGTTGTTGCTGCTGCACACATATCTCGACTAAATAACGCTTCCAAAACTGTGCTCTGTGTGTGTGTGTGTGTGAGTGTGTGTGAGGCAAGAATCTTAATTCGCATTGACAGTTGGTTGCCAAGAATAGGCGCACACACACACCTGCACACACACACTACACACGCACACGAAAACTGTCGCAAATGTTTGAAGAGCAAAACTAAACAAAACAAAGAAAAAACAAAAATACAAAAACAAAAACAAATTATTGGGCTGGACTCAAAATTTAATATTTAAGTAACATCACAAAATGAAAAGAAAATTGTATGTATATGTGTATATCGGTGTGCCCTATTAAATGTGTGTGGGCGTGCATGTGTGTGTGCGTGTGCATGGCTGCGTGTCAAAATATATATACATATTATATATATAAATAAATACTAATACAACAACAAATAGTAAAACATAGTCACATATTGTCGACGTACGAACAATATGGCGTGCGCTCTAGAGTACCTAAAACGGTATAAAACACACAGCATAACCAAGATGGCACACATACTAGTACATAAGTCGTGTACGTGTACGTGTTTGTGTTTCTCCTCTCCCACCTTCACCTGCCCTCACACACGAAGACAATCTCTGTTAAATACAACTGTCCAACTACTTATAAATTAAGATAAATTGCAAAGGCCATAGCTAGATGACAAGGATTCGCGACGAGTGAGTGTGAATGTGTGTGTGAGTGCCTATGTGTGTGTGTGTGCGTGTGTGTGAGTGGATTAGCAGGGCAGAGCAAACGAACTACTGGCTAGAATTACAACTATAACTATTTCTACTAATGTACAACTCGACTAGTTTGATTAGCACAACAATTCGAATCCACATATGTAACGTGCGTAATTGTATGGGGCCCTTTCTACTACTACTACTACTACTATTACTACTACTACCTACTACTATCTGATACCTAATATTATATATGATTACTGTTGATGTGTTGAAATGCAAAAGAAATTTATAATTAAGTGAAATCCTTTTTGAAATCTTTTTTATCTAATTGACTGAACAAATTACATATTATATATAACAAGTAAATTAATACGAATCGATAATACGTTCTTGTTGACAAAGAAAAGCAAAAGAAAATCTACAAAAATATAAACCAAAAAAAAGAAAAAGAAAGCAAAAATATTATATATATATATACATATATGTTTACATACCTATGAATCAAAGCAAATGCAAAAAATAATAAGTATATATTCATATATAAATATATACAATTTATACAACTTTTACGCAGGATAAGCATATTCAAAGGATATATTTATATATTATTATATGTGTATGCATGTATGCGTGTGCATATGCGCATGTGTGTGTGCGAGGGTGTGTGTGTGTTACACTGTTATTTGTATCTGTTATAGACATTGATTTCACGATTACACTTTTGATACAGTTTATACACACAGCAAACCTGCAATCGATCAAGATCCGACCCCAATCCAGACATGGTTCACACAACTCACACACACACACACACACACACCCGCACACTCGCACACCCGCACACCTTTTAATCGAACACAAATACAAGTCTATGCAACTACATACATACATACATACATATATATTTATTGTTGTTAATATGTGTGTGTGTGTGCGCGTGCCTGTGTGTCTGTTTTAAGTGCGTGTGTATATGTTACCAGGCACGCGCACCTCTTAATAAGTATTTACAAAAAAATCAAAGCGAAAAAGAAACAATTATTTTTAAAAACGAGCTCTTTAAACAAATGCATGGAAATTTCTATTACTAAGCGATTCTTAGACCCCGTTTGTTTCTAAAAACAACATGCAACATCTTTATACAACTACATACTGACATATATTTGTTACTACATCTGTTTGCTCCTTGCAGGTTAAGGATTATAAATGTTAAGATTTAGTCAAATTTATTGTAAAAACAAAAACAAAACGCGAATAAAAAACGCAAATACATAAATACAAATTCAAAACAAAACCCGGCCTCAGCTTCTTAACTTGGGCAAACGAAGAGCGCAAGTAAAAATACACAAAATTTGCATTTGGGCATTTGGCAAGGTCAAAATAGCTCAAATAACTTCGACTAGATACGAATTTTAAATGTAGAAAAACGAGAATATTATCTACGATATGAATAGATGACTATTCAGTCATATAATATATCGTTGCCATTTATTATATGAATATATGACTATTCAGTCCTATAACACATCGTTGCCATTTGTTATTAGACCTGGAATCCAATGAAAATTGTTCGAAGGGGCATGATGTGCTTGTGCTAATGTATGTAACAGTTGGAAGAATGTATGTAAACAGTTGTACGATAAAAGAGATATTTATATAGATAGATATATCGATAGATAGACAGATAGATAGATGGATAGATATATAGTTGGATAGATAGATATATTGATAGATGGATACATATATAATCACAAATAGATAGATAGATAGACAAATGGTAGATGAATAGATATATATATATATATAGATAGATAGTTAGATAGATAGATAGATAGATAGATAGATAGATTTATATGTGTCTATAGACAGATAGATAAAGAGAGATATAGATAGCTAGGTGAGCTGTTATAAGAGCTGTATTAAACCCTTCTTACACATAGCTGCTTCAACTGAAACACAGCATATAGATACATATATCAGACTTCATATATAAATGTCCAACAATTCAACCTGAAAGCCGTATCAGAAAAGCTTTAGACTCAGCTAAGTACATTCGTAGCTTATGTTCTGCGCTCTGCTCACCAACCTTTCAGAGTATCTTCTAGTCGGGCACTCTTCGATTAGATCACTCTCACTTGTTATAATTGGCTTACAGCTGCGTCATTCAGCGCTTCTGAGCGCCAGCGATCTGCATTCAAACGACCTGCTTTCCGATTCTTTGGGCTAAATGGCTGACCAAAGACGTGCGCATAATTTCACCTGCTAAAACACAAGGTAAACAAACAAACTGTTGACAAAATAAATTGGTAGCCGAAATACAGCGAAACTTTCTTTTACGACTGGTTTCCGCAAGAGCATGGCCCCATAACATAAGCCCTCCATAAAGAAAGTCTTACAGCACCCGGTCACTCAATGCATTTCGAAAATCAAGTCGAAGATCCCAAATCACAAATCACAAAAAACGAGTCTGTTTACAAGTTATATAACACCCATACGCGTACACATATATAAGATGATTATATTGATGAGCACGGCGCCATTAGTGATGCGGCTCAGGCAAGGGCCGAGCGCGGGCTTCACGTTCATTATCATTCGTGTGATTAATGTAATTCGCTTTATAATTATTCATTTCGATTGTATAGACAGCTTGCATTCTAGTGATGCTAGTGATATGGTGGCCAGATCTTGACTGTGACCGATCATCGAGTGGAGGAGTCAACCTATATGAGCTTTGGCTATATGTGCCTAGTTATCACTTCAGATCTCATCACCATGCTTCACATCATATCACGTGCGCATCTCTGGCTTTCAGCGTAGGGCGAGAAATTCTGCCTCAACACTCCCGTCGACGGCGCTCGCATTTAATGCAGCAGAAACTGTCAAGGCGATCGGTTGGGTGCGTCTTTTAGCAATATTTAAAAATCGTAGTTTGTTAGTTAGCCAGAGCGTAGCTATGCCCGCGTCGAGCTTCTTTGCGAGAAGCGTGCCCTTCGAGCAAATCGACAAGCTGGCCATCAGCGGCGGCTACTCTTCGATCTACGCGATCAGTGAGCCGAGCGTGCCTGTGGTGGGCAACTGGGAGCAGCGTTTCTGCCGTTTGGCTGACACCTTCCAGCCCGTTCTGGATCGCGTGCATGATTTTGAGGTACGTGAGGATGATGTTTGGATCGTTACGCTGCCAAAGTGCGGCACCACCTGGATGCAGGAGCTGACTTGGCTGGTGCTCAATCAGTGCGACTTTGAGACGGCCAAGTCTGTGGACCTGACCATACGTTCTCCATTTTTAGAGTAAGCCTATTCATCAACTAGTCACAAGTTAGTTAAGCCTCTGGTTCAATAGATTCAATGGCGTTGTTCCCAACGTGCCGCATGACACCATCGAGGCAGCCAATGCGTTAAGCTCGCCACGCCTCATCAAGTCCCATCTGCCCGCCTGGTTGCTGCCACGCCAGATCTGGACCAAGAAACCGAAGATCATCTACGTCTATCGGAATCCCAAGGATGCAGCCGTTTCATACTTTCACCACTGGCGGGGCATGGTTGGCTACCAAGGCACCAAGAATGATTTCATGCACTCCTTCATCGATGGCTACGTGAACTTCACACCTTGCTGGCCGCACGTGCTCGACTTCTGGCAGTTGCGCCACGAGCCGTACATCTACTTCACCAGCTACGAGCGCATGAAGACCCAGCTGGACCAGGTAATCAACGATGTGGCCCACTTCCTGCAGCGCCCAGTGAGCGTTGACCAGGTGCAGCAGATGAAGCAGCACCTCTCCTTCGAGAGCATGCGCGACAATCCCGCCTGCAACCATGCCAAGGAATTCGAGAGCATGAAGGCAGCAGCTGGTCGCGAAGTCGAGGAGTTCAGGTAAGCGAGTCAAGCATCGAGCCCAATTGAAGCTGCTTCTGCACGGCTAAAAAGTATTTCCCCACACAGGTTTGTGCGCCGGGGCGTGGTAGGCAGCCACAAGGACGAAATGACGGCGGACGTGATACGCGAGTTTGATCTTTGGTCCGATGTCAATCTGAGGGACTACAAATTGCACATGGATGATTTCGCAACTTACAGCAAGTACAATGAACAAGCAACAATCAGGAAATCGCTGTGAGCGCATCAATTAATCACTTCGAATAGATTATAGCTAATGTGATAAATGAATAAAGTATAAAGAATGTTTATACTACAGTAAACACTATAGACATATAATATAAATATTTATATGTATTTGTTATCAATAAATGGCTTATACAACTGCAGCGATTAGCGTAAATTGTAATATGTATTTTAGTAGCTTAAACTTAGCGTATAACTACAGTGAAATGTGCCTAAATTGAACAATCAGAAATTGATATAAGTAGCAGCTCAGATATAGAGTATCTCTTGGACCAGCACTCTTTAGAACAGATTGTTACTATTTATATAAGCAGTAAACTGATAAAGCATATCAGCAACAGAGAGAGAAAAGGACATCCGACTCTTCCCTCTCTCTCACTCATGGTAAATAACTCTTTATATAGCAACAACAGCAAAGCACTTTAGTTGAGTTCAAAAATGCAATTCGAGCTGATCACACCGAAGAGCTATCTCGTGGATCTACTAGAGAAAGACTGGACAAAGCGCAAACTTTGGTTTCATAGTCCAGCCAAATCATTTCCGGAGATGATCCATGATATGGAGGTGTTGGAGGATGATGTTTGGATTGTTACTATTCTCAATGCAGCAACTTCTGTGGCTACTGTTAAATGAATGCGATTTCGAGGCAGCTCTGTCCAAGGACTTGGAGCTACGCTCAACCTTCTTAGAGTGCGTAGATTTTTGGGATATAGATAATAAGTAAATAGACTTCTCAATAGATTTGACTTTCTTAAACACGCTGATGAGGAAAGGGCACTAAAAGTCGTCCAAGAGCTGACATCGCCTCGTCTAATAAAATCCCATCTGCCCCTCCCCCTATTACCCGCTCAGCTCTGGCAAAAGAAAGCAAAAGTCGTTTATGTCTTTCGTAATCTGAAAGACGCTTGGGTATCATCATATTATCACGGCCTAACGACTGGCTACAGCTATGGGAAAACGTTAACCGAATATTTTAACGAATGCTTAGATGAAACTAGTTTCAACAACGAGCAAATCGAACATGCAGCTGAGTTCTATAGACTGCGCAACGAGCCCTGGGTATACTACACGAGCTTTGAGCGAATGAAACTCAATTTGCGTGCTGTTGTTGAGGACCTCTGCAAGTTTCTGGACAAGACTATAACGGAAGAGCAGATGGGGCACCTGCTTAAACATCTTTCATTTGAAGAGATGAAGAGTAAGTTCCCGATTACAAAGGAATTGTACTTCTCTTGAATCACTATTGATTTTAGAAAATCCAACAACAAATCACAAATGGGAGCACGCACAATCGAAATTTCCTAGCTGCGGTAAAGTTGTTCACAAGTAAGTTAAAAAGCTAATATAATTTAAAGTTAATATACTTATATTCGTGCAGCTTTATGCGCAGGGGCAAACTAAATGGCTACAAGGACGAGCTGACACCCGAGCTGATAGATAAAGCTGATCGCTTTCTAGAAAAAAGACTTCAAGACAACAAAGTTACAATTGAAGAGCTTTTACTACTTGATAAAGCATGATAATCCACATAAGTAAGATTTTAAGAACATTGTATGTATGTTAAAAAATTAGTATTTCTCTTATTTTCATTCTCGCTGATATCAGTACATAGCTCGGAGTGTAAACAATTCACATAGAGATTAGCACAAGCGAAGCAGAAATACAACTAATTTAGATTGTAATATGTTTGTGTAACTTTGACATGTTTGTCATTCGAGTTAAATTGTTAACAATTGTTTTCTGTGTATATATATTAATTTTCCATTTGTTGGAACATGCCTGTAGAGCATTTAAATTAAATATGTACTAATTGACAATTCATTAAGGCATATCATTTTAAATATTTAAGCTAACTCACTTATCATGCATCGAAATCAATTTAATTCATGTTAAAACTCATCTCGTTGGCGGGTTTTACATTTTTCGGCTAAATTTTTCAATAAACAGCTAGAGTTGGCGGGAACCCAACAGCACTGATAACCAGAGCTGCTGGCATATTTAGTGCTAAATATAAGGTGTCAATCGCTGGTTTGAAAAGAGGGGGTGCACGCCGACTGGGCTACAGTGAGTGCACGTGAGAACGAACTGTTGCATAAATATACGTAAGTAAATGTAACTTTGTAGTTGTCTTATCAATTAATTAATACAAATAATGCAAATGTGTGAAAATCGACCTGTTGCTTGTTTACGAATTGGTGGAGAGCATGCGGTCGGTAAAAACTGATAATGCGCAGTTTTACTGATAAGCGACTAATCCACAGACGAATAGCTATAGAGGCTGCTCGACTGCAACCAGAAATCATTCGTTCTCAGTTCCATAAGCTGTGTACACTGTGATTTACAATGGCAACAGCCATACAAAATAGTCTAAAAGTAGCTCTAAGGAAGCGCATGAAGCAGATCCTTAGCTGCTTAACGCCCGAGATGATAGCGAAGCAATCGGCGGCGGTGACGGAGAGGGTCTGTACACGTAATCCAGATTTAGATCGCCGTATATACTTACGTGCACCTGTTCTTGGCAGGTGCTGAAAAATGAGGCATTTCGTCAGGCTCAACGCGTTAGCATCTATTTGAGTACCAGCGAGGAGCTGGATACTACTGCGATAATCCGCGAGATGTTCAGGCTGGAGAAGATGGTGTTTGTGCCCAGCTACCAGGGCACAAAGATGAAAATGGTGCGTTTGTGCGACATGAACGAATACGAGGGACTGCCGCTGACCAAATGGAATATCAAGCAGCCGGACTTCCAGGAGAGTCGCGAGGATGCCATGACAAATGGTAAACGATGACCATGTGCTGTCTTTATAAGTACTAAATCTCTCCTGCAGGACATGGTATTGATCTGTTTATTGTGCCCGGCGTGGCATTCACGCGCAGCGGCGATCGTATGGGCCACGGCATGGGTTACTATGACAAATATTTGAAGCAGCACGCGGAAAAGTATCCGCACAAGAAGACAACCATAATGGCTCTCGCCCTCAATGAGCAGATAGTTAGCAGCGAAGAGCTGCCCATGGATGACCACGATGTACGTTTAAATTGTGTTATTACAGAGAAATAAGCTTAAATTTAATTACTTTACATACAAAATGTATAAATCAAATATACACAAAACACTTTGATATATGCAAGTTTTGGCGCCGTGTCTAACGCAAATAGGGCGGCCTGGAGCGTAGGCCACGCCCACGTGATCGTCCACTGTAGTGGGGCGACGTGTAGTGCGAGTCACCCCCGCTGAAATGCCCTTCAGCATTGCCAGAACGATACGGCGCTCCCGTCGCCTCGGACCAATTGGAGGGCGACCCAATGCGTAAGAGCTTCTTTTGCCTGCAAACGAGAGCAAAACACAAGACTGATAAGGATGCTATTTTTACAAATCTTAAAAGCTCTTTACCTGTAGGCAGCTGCTGCTGAAATACGTGACCCGCGATTACGACCAACGCGCGATCCGCGAAGCATTGACGGTATTTTATTGTAGCCCGTTGGCCCGGTGGGCTGTGCACCGCAAGTCTCCAGCGCCAGGAAATCGTCCACATGGAGCGATGGTGGCCGAGAAGTGTTGGGCGGCCTGGAGCGAAATAGGTCGCCGCGAGAGGGTGGGGGCCTTGCAAAGCCTCGTCCTCGTACTGCACTTACGAACATTTTCTTTTCAGGCCGACCCGTAGCGGGTTCCACCTCAACACGCCGAGTACGGAAACATGGTGCTGTGGGAGTCATCTCACGATTAGATTGAGGTGAGCCAGATAAATGCAGCACACGCTTGCAATCGCCCGTGAGATTCAGATCGGGATTCAGGCAAACATTGGCCAAATCAGTCAAGTCGCAGGCAATGCGTTCGTACAGTGGCTCGTCCATATCTTCAATAACCTCAATTGGCAACGGCTCCAGCCAGTAACGCGCTGTCAACTGAACATTCTCAGCCGTTGCGCAGAAGCGTGTGAATATAGGTCGGGCCTCGTACTGAGTGACAATGCCCTCAGCTTGCGGCAGATGTGGCTCAACGTTTAATGGTCCTGTGGCGACGTTGCTGCCGTTTGCTGCATTGGCATCGGCTTCATTTGGCGTTTCTGTTGAGGCAACCGCTGTTGTCAGCGTCTCCTGTTCCTGCTTGGATGCCTGCAGGGTAATAAGTTGTTTCAAATCACATAGCGCTGCCTCATTGGCCACAGCCTTGTGCTTCTCGAGCACTTTAAGAATGCGCTGTAAAACCGGTGGCTTGTCCATCTCCACATCCTGGAACTCAAGCAGCTGAGCAAGCTCAGAAGGGCCCAGCTTAAGTGTACGGTTCGGCATAGCGGACATTGCTGGAGGTGGCTCAATTTGAGTCAGGGAGCGCAGCAGTAAAATCAACGACTCAATGTTTGCATTATATTCAACCGTTTCATTGTGGAGTATAACACGTTCCATCCAGGCCTGGAACTCGCTAATCTTCTGCTTCAACAACTGGGCCAGATGATAGAATGTGTAGCTTTAAAAAGAAAAACAATTTAATATCAAATTGCTATAGGGGTCTTTGACACTTACTCATGCTCGGTTAGGATGACCAGATTACGCACAGCTAAAATGGAAATTCCATGAGTGACCTCCACGCTGGCCAGATTGCTAAACACGGCATCGATGACACGTGGGATTAGTTCCTTGGGCGGCAGCGCAGCCGACAAATTGAGCGACGGCTGCGCTGTGGATTTGTGTGAAATTAAGGAAATGCCAGAGTCCAGGAAACTGTCTAATATGCGATGCACTGCCTCCTGGCAATTGGAGACCACCTCATTGAACTCATTCAACGATAGCAGCGATTGGAACAGCTCCCAGAATTTGCCAGACAATATGGAGAGCATGGAGCTCTTAAGGGGTGCGAAAGCGCACAGTCGCGTGGAGAAACGTAGCAGGCGCTCAAGATTGGTGGTCGGCATACAATTGGAGCTCTGATATTCATTGCACAACAGTTCCATAATTGTCTTGGCTATTAGCAGCGTCATGTTGGGTGCCAGGTCTGATAGCTGCATGCATACGCGCTGCAGCAGCTCGGACAGCTGAGGGAAACTTGAAGGCGCCAGCGCTTCCACCAACTTAGCGATTTGTCCGCTCTGCGGATGCAAGTGAGCGGACCACAATTTGCGCTCGGTGATCAAACGCTGTTTGTGCTGCTGCTTCAACTGATCGCTCAGTGGCTGTGGCATGGGCAATGGCAACGGCAGCAATTCCGCCAACAGCTTCAGACCCGGTATAAAGTTGGCCGGTCCATCGATGTTCTTCAGCACCTCACGTATCATTTGCGTCCAGAGAGATTTATGTAAAGACTCCTCGTCTTGCTCGTGTGGTTGTGTATACGCCAACAGTGTTTGCACCACTTCCAGCTTGCACAGTTCCACCTCAGCACCAGCCTGGCATCGAGTGGGATAATAGTATAACAGAAAATATACCTTAACAAGATGGTCAATCGAAGTCAGATCTTTGAAGGCGCCGTCACGGCACAGTATGGCATAGGAGAGCAGCTCGCGTAGAATTTGCAGCGTAGGCAACATAATCTGGCAGCAGTGCACACCCTGAATAGTCATCAAGGCAGGTGCATGCATTCCGGGCTGCTCAAAGTACGTACACAATCGTTCCATGATCTGAATCATTAGCTGAACGCCATCCGCTGCGTACAGCTGGAGGGCCACAAAGCGATGTTTCAACTCCTCGGTGTCCGCACGTTTCGACTGCTTGATACCGGGCGGCGGTGTCGATTTGGTGGTAACCAGATAACGCAGAATTCGCAAGGCCATAATCAGATCGCCAGGGAAAGTGGTAAGATAGTCCAGAGAACGCCCAATTACCTCAACTAAAGGCATTATGTCGTCGTAGATGAACACATTAATGGCCTCCAATGGCTTCATGTACACATACATCTCCTGTAGCACAGCCGACACAGATGGCTCAAAGGTTTCGTGGTTCTTGGCCAGCTCAAGAATGACAGCGCCATGCTCGATAAGATAGTCAAGTTGTTCGCAGTAGCGTACACAGCAGTCCACCATGTCCACCGCATAGCTGAGCACGGGACTCTTGTATTTCGTGCCTGGCGAACTGAGCTGTCGCTGCGATTGCAGCCGCTGTTCCTTTTTAATGAGGTCCATGCATATCTTTAGATTATTGTTCAGTCCCAGAACCTCAATGGTGTGCTGTCGACCTGCCGGGTCGCAGGTCTGTGAGTAAATTGCGTGCATGTGTGTGGCAACTGTGATAGCATCGTACTCAGGCAGTGCTGCCGTAAAGACAATCGCATCGAGGTGATAACGCGTCTGCACCTTGTAAGCCAACTCTATCCCCAGACGCGCTAAACGTGGCAAAACGGGCCGAAGTACGGGTGCCATCTTTGGAGGCGCTTTGACAGGTGTGGGTTCCGTTTGTACGGCAACGTCAATTGCCACAGTTGCTGCAGCAGCCCCCTCGCCCTTTGCTTCGGCTTCCTTTTCGGAGCTGTCCGATGTATCTAAAGGTTTGTCTGTTTGCTCAGACTTAACTGCAAAATTCATAAGTTTATATACATTTCATAAAAGCCAGAATTGAGCAGATCACTTACCACTTTCTGTTTCCTGTTCCTTTTGTATTTCTGGTTTGGGCATGGTGGGCACTTCATCCAGACCCAAAAGTATGGCGACAATAAGTTGTGTCGCCTCAAATGCATCGTCAACAAAGTAATCTATGCCCACGTGCGATTTGAGCAAAGCATGCATAAGATCCAGCGTACAAAGGAATGTGGTAGCTGGAAGTTCCTTTGAATTGCTTAGAATTAACAGCAGCGATTCGGCGAGCGCATGCTGTTTGAAGTAGGATTGAAGCGCATTGCCAAAGCTCCGTTGCGCATTTGGATCTGTGACCAATTCGAACTTCTTGGAGACGGGCAGAAATCGACGCGGCTGCTGAAAACTCAGCTGGTTGGCTACCAAAGCATCCATAATCATCTCAAATGCGTATTCGATCTCCTGACAGATCGTCTGCGGCGGCCGTTCCACTTTGCGGACAAAGAGCTGATTGCAGCTGTTGCGCACACTCTCCAAGGCTTCGTATAGATGCAGTTTTTTGATGATGGCCTGCAAGGCGTATTTGGTGCGCGTAAGCTTGGCCGCCTTGATAGACTCGATGATTAGCTGATAGCCATTGGTGTTACCACCCAGAAAATGCTTAATGCCCATTTGAGTGTCCAACATGGCATAGACAGCTTTTAGCAGTTGAAGTTTTATAGACAACGCCATGTAAGGCTCCTGATAGAGACTGAAGACGGCTTCAAATGGATCAAAGTTGTGCTGCTGCAGCAGATGTCGGAACAACTGCTCGTTGTTGCACAGCAACTCAGCCATGCGAGCGCCCAGCTTGATATGTCGTATCTTAAATGCCGGTTGTGGCTGCATGCAAGCCGCCTGGAAGCTCAACGCAATCTGTAAAATATTCGCCGCTTGACGCAGATGCGACTCGTCGTTCTTAAAAAACTGTTGTAGCACAAAATTTCGACGCTTGTAGTGCTGAGTTAGATAGCCCAACTGGTTGTTTAACTGCTCGCCTAGGTAGACGAACTGCTCCCGCTCGTCCACAGTGACTCCGCCGTGCTCTTCATTGAAGGCGCTCACATTGTCCCATCGAATTTGTAGCGATAGCTTCTTGAAGAGTAGCCTAAGTGTATCGAGCTCTTTACTGAAATGAGTCAGCAAGTCACCGTCGAAGGTCAATAGCGGACGTTGCCATGGTTCGAAGGCGTCTATGGCAGGTGGTGCAGCAGCCGCAGCTGCCTCCAGTTCACGTTCATACTCTGCCGCTGCAGCCGCATCCACTCCGTCGTCTTCATCTTCTATATCGTCACCTATGATCTCGTCATCACTTAGAATGGGCTCAAATTGTTCTTGCGGTGTATCGGAGCGCTCACGTTCACGCTCCCTCTCTTCTTCTTCGCGTTCTCGTGGCAACGATTCTGATGAGTGGCGATAACCATGCGAGCTCTGAAGCTTATAAGGCGAACGTGTATCATCATCTTCATAGTCCATGGTATCCGGGGAGCGCGGACGTGTTGGCGAGTCGATTGACACTGGTGGCGTCCGTGGCCACTTGTGCTCATCTGCATCGGAGCGAGAACGCTCTGAGCGCTTACGGCGTGCTCTGTGACTGGAATATTCTGGTGAGCGCGACCAATCACGCGGCGCCTTGTCCCGTGAACTGTTAATACAAAGTTTGAAGCATGAGATGAAAGAAGTGGCATAGTTAAACTTCATAGAGTACTCACCAACGTAGGTACTCCCTGTCATTGCTCTCTGAATGTGTATGCGTCCGTAGTGGTGGGGGAGAGTGGTCAGTAGAATGCGTAGACCGACGCAAGCGTCGCAATTCGCGCTGTTCCTCGTCCGCGTGCTGATGGTAATGGTCGCGCGACATGCCATATTCGATATCATCGTGCTCGTAGTCGCTGACACTGACGTTAGCCTTGTGTGCCGCTGCAACCAACAATTCACTCTGCATTGGCTCCGACCAATCATCTTTGATCACTTCTTCTGGGAGGAGCACATTGTGTCCCTCACCGCTTAGATTGCACATCTCAGGTCCGGTCATTGCTGGCTCGCAAGGCAACGTTGGGCTGGCAATAGGCTCCGTTACAGAGTTGGTGAGTATACCATACACAGCTAGGGTAATAGCGCTATACCACCCGCGTAAAACCAGACCATCTGTTGGAATTTTCTCTTGCGAACAGTCCAGATGTATGCAGTCGTTCTGGTTGTAACGTAACAAGCCCAGATTCTCAAATGCCGAAGCACCCGGCATGCCTAAATCATTGACAAAGAACTCCAGATCGAACTTGGAGGGATTCGTGGCACCTAGACGAACGCCACCAGGAAAATCAGCTTGGACACGAGCGCCCAACGGTATAATGCGCACTTGTGTTATGAATACAGGCTTTGGGAACTGAACCAAGTCCAAGTTTATATCCTGTGGCAGTTTAAAAGGCTGTTTAATGCACACACATGTTGATATTAAGGAAACAAAAATTTCACTTACGGTGACTTCTTCATGTGAGAAAGTGTCGAAGAACAACAACTCAGCTCCATCATCGGCATCGGCCATTTTGGCTTGCACTATTGTCCCGTTTACGCGATAAATTAAGTAAATTTATATAAAACAAATAAACAAGCGTCGGTCGGCAAATTTTTTGTTGAGCTCTTTAAGTGTGGACGTTTCGACGCTCTCTTAAAAATACCAAAGTAGCGTTGCCACACAACAAAAATATTGCATGTAGCAGAATGTCGAGCAACGATTAATTTACCTCAAACAATATATACCTTCAACGATTTCAATCGAACCCAACAACGGGTATGTCAAAATCGATTACTTGCATGATAGGTTGCATAAACTTGATACTATCGTATGAGTCCGCTGGCAGCCTCAACACTTTACAAATAGTGGCAGCTCTAAAATCAACCGGCTAGAAGCTTCGGCCACACTTACGACATACAAGTTTGACACGCAGAAGAGTCAGGTAGGTTTTTTGCGCCACAAAAAAGTTCTTTCACATACATATAAATGTATAAATGTTTATACATATAAATTAATGCTTTTCTTTGTATGAAAGTAATAAACAAAATTAATACATATACATATGTATCTAGATAAAATGTTTACACAAAAGACTTTTCTTTGTTGATTTTTAAGTTCAATGCAACTGAGCTTGAAAGATTTCTCGCATATCATCGTGTGTTTTAATAACTTCTTTCTTTTTCCAGATTTCCACATCAATTTTTGCATAACTTATTGAGAAAATGTTCGTTGTACGTCGTAGCGCATCCCGTTTGTACCCAGCTGGAGTACAGTAAGTTATTTGCCCTAATTAAATGCTAATTGGCTCTCAGCTCAAAACGAAAATGGCTGGAAAAACGAAAAACAAAAAATTTTCTTTATACGTTTACACATACATATATATACATATATGTACATTTTGTAAATTTTTACCGATAAGATAAACAAATAGAGCCCCAAAATTTCTTTACGCTTGACCCGGCACTACATGCTTTAGTGTGTGTATATATGTGTGTGTGTGATTGTGTTGCCGCTTATGACTTCAAATTACATAACATGTGCAAAATTCTAATGCCTCTTGATATTGCGCTGCTGCACCTACAGATTGGCGAAAATGAGCGGCAGCCAGGTCGGCGACTTGGGCAGCGGTGCCGGCAGGGGCGGTGGTGGCGGCGGCTCCATTCGTGAGGCTGGTGGCGCCTTCGGCAAACTGGAAGCTGCACGCGAGGAGGAATACTTCTACAAAAAGGTGAGTGAACTTTTGCTCAATCAAGTAGACGTAAATATTTACAATTTATTTAAATAGCATAGAGCCTACATGAAATGAAAAATACTTTACATTTTTGAAAAGTCTTCTAATAAATATAGAATGATCGAGTATTTGAGATAGCTGACAATGACAGTTAAGGTTGTGCCTAATGGCAGGGCAATCCATTGAGAAGCTCGTAGATGCCGCACTTCTGTATACGAAAATTGACTTCCTTGAAATTCAGACCCGTTCCAAATGCCTTCTGCAACCGATTCGAGAGCGCCCAAAGCTCCTCTTTGCCCTCGTGGTTTCTGACAATCTTCAAACCGCTGGTAAATTGCAGCCGTTGCTCGTCCTCAATTAGCAGGGCCATATTCTCAGGGGTATATGACTGGCGAATATTCCAAGCCAGTATGCTGGGTGGCTGCACCAGGCCGCAGAGCAACATGCCTGTCTCGCTCATGGCCGCTGCCACACATTGGCTACCCCGTTTGCCCAGCAGCACAAATTGATCGAGGCCAGCGCTGACATCGTTTCGTTTCCAGATGCTTCCATTGTTAACAACATTCAGTGGTATTGCCATTTGCCAGTCGCTGGACAGCGAGTGGAAATAGAGCATGCGTTCCAATTGCCCCGCCAGTCCGTGTGGGGTCACTGACATGGACACGCTGCCATCCCATAGCTGAAAGCTCTCGCCAGCTATCTTGAAAGTGCCAAAGTCCGGATGCGGATAGGTGTACTTGTTCTCTATACGCCACGATTTCTGGGCGGCCACGTCATAGACCACAATGCCATCGCCAATTGAGTCAGCCATGTAAACATGGCCCACATCGCAATTGTGCGCATCGAGCTCAATGATGGGCGTCACAAAGCGGCTCACTCCCGTCTTGTACACATCTTGTGGCAAGCGGTAATGGTGCACCACGCCCCCACTTGCCAAATCAAGGGCGTACAGCTGCGGCGGGCAGTGCTGCACAAAGTCAATCTCTCCACTGTCCAATATCCACATGCGTCCGCAGTCGTCAATCTGCGTGCGATAAACGGAAGTCAGCCCGTTGCAGTCGGCGCCATGGGATTGATGCCAATCGTAGCTCGGATAAGCGCGCAGCTCGGTGCCGTTCTCTCGCACCTCGTTGGTAACATAGGCCAGGGAGTAGGGCACGCCCTTGGTGAAGCGAGGTATAGTCACAAAGATGGAGGGTGTTTTGTCACCATCTAACAGCGAGAAAGTTAATATTAATTTAAGCTTGTAATACAAATACGAATGATGTCAGCATTTGAGCTTTTTGCCTTTTTTCATTTGAATTCAATTCGATTTGCTTTTGCTTACGTGTATAGTAGACGTCCACATCGATGGGCACAACATTGCCAGGATCATAGAGACCAGCGCGCAGGACACGCTCCCGTTCCTTTGGCGTGGGGAAGCTGAGCTCCAAGTTGCGCGCCTCAAAGACTCTTTCCAAGGCCTTGGAGTGGTATCCAATGCCTGGCGCTGTGCTGTATTGTCCTGCGACAATGCCAAGCGCGCAGCTAAGCAAAGCTATTATCCTTATGCAACGTTGGCACTTCATACTGAGGTAATCCATTCACTTTCGCGCGATGTGCTTCATGTAAGGCCAAGACAGTTACTGCGCATGCGTCGCCAGCGAACGGCCCATGTCTTTCTAATCCGGCTATCAGCCGACCAGACCTGGTCAATTGGGTCAACTTTGTGGTAAACTGGTTTAATTGCAAATTGAAAGCTTGCATTGAAATTCTCATTGTAACGATCTTGTTTAAGTCCACCAAAAAAAAAAAAAAAACTAATTTCAACAAAAAGCTGTGCAATTCGGGGCGATAATTATGCATGCCTTCCAGCTACTTCCAGCTTCCACGCTATGCAACACACGGCGTCAAGGTAGAGTCCATTGGCCCCCGTATGTGTTGCAACAATAAATTACATATACACTACGAAAGTCGCTATGACTAACGTCTAAGACTCTTTGTTAACAGATCTTTCTGTCTGCTTAAGTCAATGTTGACACTCTTTTTGTTCATGAATAACAAGTTTAACTTCGCGCTGTTTTGTTGTTGTTTATTATTATACCTTGCCTAAAAATTCCCAAAAAATGATATTCAGAGCAAGGCTCTTTTAGCAGACATATGAGAGAGTAAGAGAATAATACTGAGTTGGTTTTCTCTCGATTTGCAAGAGAGAAACAAAGTGTGAACTATACATCGAAGTTTCTCTACTCAAATTTCTATTCTTTCTACATTAATCGATGTCTTAGTTTGCTTGGCCTAGTTTTGAAGATTACTCTAGTTAGTAGAGGCTGCTATTTGAGAGTATTCATTAGTCGCTTTATAGCTTTTTGTTGTTTTTAACCGGATCCAGGCTTAAATGTTGCTAACGTGTTGCTGTGAAACAAATTCCATACGTTCCACGTGCTAGCGATATCATCTTCAATGCGTAGCTTTGCCGATAAGACGACTTTGAACTTTTGTGACAAAAATATAAGCGATAGAGACACGACAGCACGTAGTATAATGGCTCGAATCAAGACACCCTGTATAATGTGTTTTTGTTTTGATTTCGAGAGATATTCACATTGATTGCAAGGAATAAAAAATTCTAAATAATGACTGCAATCATCATAATTCAAAAGTATTTTTATTGCTTGCTAAATTTATAGATAAAGAAGCAGAGCTTTCAGATATTTACGTGTTTCATTATACTATATAAATATGTCAACTTGCTGTTGTCGGAGTGTGCCTTGTGGAAGCTTAAGATAGTGTCTTGTATTTAGATTATCTATTGATTCTTAGGTTTAACTGTTTACGGTAGAGCTTAGCTGAAGATCAAGCGATTGGTCAGATCGTCGTCGCTGGCGAAGTATACTCCGCTGTGTATGTCGTCGAGCTGGCGGCGCAAGATGCGGAAGTTGATCTCATTCGAGTTCAATGTGCCCGCAGAAATTTTCTGTAAAAATATAGTTTTATAAAAGGATGTATGAGATAAGGAGAGGGCAAATCTTACCTGGAAACGATTGGAGAGCATCCAGAGCTCCTCCTGACCGCCAGGATTGCGCACAACCTTCATGCCGCTGACGAACTGCAGCTCACTGGACTTAGCTGGTAGATTACCAAAGTTACGTGTGAGGTAGGGCGTTTTCGTGTTCCAGGCGAACAGCTTGATCGGATTCAAGGTGACACAGTAGAGATTATTGCGACTGTCCATGGCAGATGCGGCGCATTCGCTCTTGCGCCTGCCCAGCAGCTTGAATTGATCCTCCATGGCACTGACATCGTCCGCAAAGTTCTCTCGCCTGTTGATCACGCTCAGCGGCACAGCATACTCGCTGATACTGGCCAGTGGATGGAAGTAGAGATTCTGCCTATCGTTGTTCACGGTAAAGATGCCGTCCATCAGAGTGAAGCTCTCGCCGGCGATGGTGTGACGACCATAGTCAGGGTCTGGGTACATGAAGCGATTCTCAATGCGCCAAGCTGCATCGGTCTGATGATCGTAGACGACGAGTCCATGGAAGGTGACGTCCGGCATGTAGATCATGGTGCGGGCGCAGTTGCCACGCGGCGGTGGATCCTGCACCAGCAAGTTGGGCGCTATGATTATCGAGGCGTGAGCCACATATGTATTGTTGGGCAAACGGAAGCGATGCAGCAGACTATCGGTGTTCAGATCGAACTTCAGCAACTGTGGCGGACAGAGTTGTACGCCTCCTATGTTGCCCGAATCAATGACCCACATCTGATTGCACTCTGTGATCTGGCAAGCACAAGAAAGAACTTAGATTCGACATTCTATGTCACCAACATCAGTAGTAGGATCTACTTACAGCCACACGAAAAGCTGAGGTAATCTGGTCGCAGTTGTCTCCATTGTTGTTATGCCAGTTAAAGCTGGGATACGGCTGCAGCAGGGGTCCCTTGCTGCCCAACTGCGCGGAGACCGTGGCCAGCGTGTAGGGTATGCCGGTGACAAAGCGTGGCACCGTGGTGAATATACGCACCTGCCCGTTGGGCAGATAGTGAGGTTGCACATCAATGGGCGTGCCATAGCCAGGCAGTAGATTGCCGTCAGACTGCGCCTTCTGTCGGTCCTGCTCCGAAGCAAAGCCGTATTCCAACTGTTGCCATTGCGTCAGCGTCTCCACGATGCGCGTGGGTCGCGCAGGTCCCAGAGCGCTGCTCACGGGTCCCTTGTAGGCAGCCATCACGCCAAAGCTTGCCCAGAAGACGAGCAGCCGAGGCACAGTCAACATGCTACGTCGCTGTATCATCTTGAATGATTGCTAAATTTTCAATGAACTGGAATGGATGTGGTCTGCGCTTATCAACGTCTTATATAGAATATTTTCAATGTTTTTATTTGTTTTTGTGTTATTTTTTTTTTTTAATTTATTACCTTAGAAGAGCGGGCGAGCAAGCTAAGCGCGCTTTTATTAATATTATTAATATTGACTCTTAATTAGCTGTATTTGCGTTGTTTATGGACACTCTGCTTAGCCAGTTGTATCAATAGATTGGCCTTGTGTTCAATAATCACTTTCTTGGCGGGCTCTTCGCTTTTACTCACGTTTTTATCACTTCGGCTGCCGTTTCACAACTAAAACTGGTTCGCAGGCAGAGCCAGCCAATAGCCAATATAACTGATACAGAATCAGGTTCAGGTTCAGGGTTAACTTTGGTCAGCTTGTGGATGTCAGGCAGATGCCACAGCAGCACTGATTATATGTTGGCCGTTTTTTCCCCACTTTTTTCTCTTTATTGGCTCTTATGTTCTCTCGTTCGTAAGCTAATAATATGGTATGGTAGCTGGCTAATTTGCATGAAGTGACATGAGATTTTGTTTTTGGGGTTTTTTTTGTGGGGGGAGGGAGGAGAGTTGTTAGTATTCTGTCAAGTGTGTGCTAAAAAATCGTTTTTACTTAATATTCGCGTTGACAGTCAGACAATGGGGCCGTTGGCTCATAGTTAAGCGGCTTTATACGTCTGTAAATAATGCGAAAGGGAATAAAAAGTTATCGTCGAGTCATTACTAATTCGTGTACAGAAATAACACTTGTGCACTCTCGTGACTAAAGAATAACGCTGTCAACTCTTAATGACTTTCTTTTATTGTTTTATGCAGCAAAAGGATCAGCTGGAGCGTTTGAAGAACGATCAGATCCATCAGGCCGAATTCCACCATCAGCAGATCAAGGAGCACGAGGAGGCCATACAGCGCCACAAGCAATTCCTCGATAACTTGCACAAGTGAACGAATCAACGAAGAACGCAGCAAAGCAACTTTCAGTTCTACTGAACCTATGATATGACATTTACTTAAATGCATTTAGAGATTTTGTTTGTATTGTTCTTAAAGCTACCGAACTGTTTAAATGCTTAAATAAAAAATAGTTTATTATATTTTTGCTTTTGGCATATGATAACTTGAAATTCGTTTCTTTACTGGACCCAACGTTGCGCTTTGTTTTGCGTGGAATCTAATAAAGTAATAAAAATAAGCAAATTATTAGCAAGTATAAATATTTTTAACAACACAATCCTGATAAATGAAAACAGCATTTAATACGGGTTTTTGCAGCACATTCTTTTAATTGTATTTATAAACACTTGTTTCATTCATCGGTAAACTAATTTTAATATTACTTCTGGGCGGAAAGTCGACTCTGGCAGATTCATTTGAATGTTAATCCGATAACTTGGACAAGAAATTTTATATTTGTTTTAATTGCTTATAAATTAACGCAAGTACACACCTCTTCGCATTACATTATACGGTTGCATAAATTTATAATTTATTTGTTTGTCATTTCAAAGCTCAAACCCTTAAACTTAAATGTGTTTAATATTATATTTATACATAAAGAATTTATATATTGTATACCATAAAGTGTGCATATAGCATACAGTATATATATAAATATATATATATATATATATATATATATATATATATGTATATAGTATATATTTTCATATTAAAACCCCTTGAATAATTCAATATAAGAAAAAGCAGGTTTAAGGTCTGGCGATAGTCGCCCTGGTCGCCGAGATAAGCTTTAACAAATGCCATTTAATGCCTCAGCCTAAAAGTATGCTGCAATAATTTCAAACAAAAGTATTTTTACAGTAGTGGCTGGAAATAAAGTGCATGCCTGCGAATCTCGATTTCTATATTCAAATTTTGTAGGATTTGATGTACCTCAGTAATCATTTATAAATAAGTACAAAATATCTTCTAATCGAGCAAGCTAAATTAGAAGTTGATAAACTGGTATCCATTGGGAAATCTTTCAGTTAGTACACATCAAAATTGAGAGCCTTGTGTAAAAGGCCAAGTATTTGACTAAAAAAAAACAGATTTTTGGCTTAGAACATAAATATTAAAAAAAAATGGCAAACTTAATACGCAAAATTCTAAATCAGACCAAAGATTTGACGCAATGGTAAGTGCAAGTCGGCCATTTGGCAAGCCACTAAAATATGCCTTTACTAGGAGATATTTGATCAAGAGCAATTTTAACTTGGCTAATGTAATGGGAACCACTGCAGATCTTGAGCTGGAGGAACTGCGTTTGGTGAGATCAATTTTAGCTCATATGTATATCTGGGAACACATAGCTATAGTCGCCTACTTGCAGGAGCGTACTGAGCTGGAGGCCCGGTCGAAGGTACTTCATCAGAGGCAGCGATGCATCGAGTCCATGTTGACCGATCTGACGAGAAGCATTAAGCAAATGGAATTCGACATTGACCTGATGCATATACAGAAGCCGGCACCAATGGCGCCCCAGGACACGACTAACTCAGAGCAGCCAGCGAAACGCGAACAGAAAATATAGAGCAGCAGAGCGTCTGAGCGTGCATGAGAGAGCAAATGAGTCGGTGATTTTGTTTTCTTTTTTTTTTGTGTTGGCTTATCAGGGGTAAACTTGGAAGACGCAAATTGCAAAAATCCCATACGGTGCTTTACCGCAACCAGCAAGCGATAGCTGTCCATATAAAATCGACTCGCCCCACTGAGTGCAGCTATTAGTCGAGCTAAAGCTTTACCAAGATCATTATGAAATTCATCGGATTCTGCTGCTTGCTGTTGGCTCTGGTTGCGGCGCTTGGCAATTTGAATGGCGCAGTTGCTGAACCTTCCCGGGACAGTGGTGGCAATAGCTGGCGTGGAGGCTCCTCGGGATCGCAGCCAAAGCAGCGACCCTTCATCTACGATGCACCCATACGGCAGCCCGGTCGTCCGCAGACCATGTACGCCTAAACCTAAGGCTAAACCCAAATCTACACCTCAGCTAAAGCCACTGACATTCTAAATTCGAACAAATTATGAGAATAATAATAAATTTAAATTGCTAACAATTTAATAATAAATTAAAATTGCTAACAATTACTGATGTCTTTTTGATGGGCAGAGCGCAGAGCGCAAAGCCGACAGCACAGATAAGACATCTGTGCGGCTTGTGTATCATTTGCGTCGCTTGTCAGCCGCACAGATAACGCGAGCTCTCAATTCTTTTTATAGGCATATTATCTTTAGTAAATTTTCGGCTCAATTTGGCCTGACTTTAGACTTCAAGTTGAAAATGCCATTGCTTTTCAGTTGCCAGTTTGTGTCAATGATTTTTTATTCCAAATTCTAACAAATTCAAAATTTTAATATGACTCCCATTCATAAATTTCTTTCTTCCTTTGTTGCGAGGACCCCGCGCCTGTTGAAGTCGTCCTCTATATGCTGCGAACAGTTTGTGAGGTGAGTATCTTGATCAATCGATGGGCCGATTACCTGCTCAGCTGATCGGCCACCATTCACCTGCAGATTTTCGAAAACGATTTTTGAGGCGGGCAAGGCCAAGGAGAATGTGCACTTCTTGAGAATGGTTTGATATCGAATGGCATCAACGCTTGTTGCTCTGTCCTTTCTAACTATACGCTATTTGCTAGCAACGCGAACAACTGAAAGATCTGCGCCAGAAAATACTCAAGGAGAAAGACGTGATTAAGGACAGAATTGAGCAGTTGGATAAGCAAATCGATAGCATCAAAAGGAAAAACGTCGAGCGTGGAAATAGCAAAATCTGATTCAGATCATTGAGAAAACGTAGGCCGACGAAACAACTTCATTACATTGAAAAGTTGAACTCATTCAACATCTTTTTCTTTTCCAAAATTGTTATTTCTCTTTTAAAATTATATTTTTAAGATTCGGAATATGGAAGCCATCTACTTTGGACTCAGATCCAAAACTGTGGTGAATTTGTTGAGACCGTTAAGATTAGCTAACCTAACAAGTATTCAGTGAGCATCGTTAAACAGCAACTATATTTATGTCTGTATATATATTCTATACTTCTAGCACTTATGGCAGAAAAATGTTCAATAACATGAATCCTCGCGATCATAAAAACGCTTTGAAAAGAGTTTGTATTCCGCAAATTCATGATGACTCCTTAACTAACTTTAACTAACGATTCTCTCCTCATTTATCTAGCTGTATCTGCAACTAAAATATATAAAAACCAAAAAAATGAATGATCGCATAAGGCTGGACTATAAGATTGAAAAACTGGACCGCAAAATTGAATTCGTTAAATTACGTTTGAGTGATGCAACAGGGAAATAACAGTTATGAATGCGGAGCAAATACCACTGATAAAAAATCTCATGAGCAAAATTTAAGTGAAGTAGGGTCAGGTGAACAGTTATAATAAATACAAAATCGTTTACTTGAAAAAAAAAACAAAAACTAAGCTTTTTAATGTCTTTCTTTATTATACGAGTGAGGTGTTGGTGCCAGGAGAGTCCCTTAAGGGGCCTTCTGTTCTTCTGTTCTAAGCTGTAGCATCAGTAGATTCCATATGATGACGCATGGTGAACATACATCAATCTTACATTAAAAATTCGAATCAACGAATCAATGGTTTAAAATTCATTCGTATTTACATGAATAAAACTCGACGAATTTTCATCACAATTTAAATTTGATGTCAGCGGAACAAGGCCGAGCAGTTCAAAATTTTTCCAAATTTTCTATTCAAAATTTACTGTGCATCATTTTCATTATGTCTATTTTGATAGGCTGCAGAGTAAAAGGGATTTTTTACCTGTCTGGTTCCCAACGCTCTTTATCATTCCAGGGCCTTAGGTGAGTTACGGCTGCCCAATGCCAATAAGAAGTTGAATGTAATTGAGCAAAAACCTATCCAGATTTAAGTCAGACCAATTATCTAAGCAAACGCCCCGTGAATATAATAGTGCGAAGTTACTGAAGGAGGTATGTGACCGAAATAGCTGAACAACTTCTAATTTCACCTGCATTCCATTTAGCAATACCAGCAACTTAGGTACATGAAGCGACAACAAATTGCTGAACGTAGAAGACTGACCTATAAAATCTTGCACCTTCAATATTTAATTGGCGAAGTAAAGAATATGATACGATACTGAATGCTTCAGTAAGCTATTTATATAATTTGAATAAACAAATGAATAAATTTTCTATTTGGATTTTATTGCGAATGCGCGAAGTGATCTAGGCTTGATCATAGTAGGCTCTTTGAAAATATACTCTATGATTCCACATTTCAAATTTAACTCCGTACAATTTTAAATACTTGTTTGACGGAACTTTTCAAAATTTTAATAGTATTTATAAAGCAATTATGCTGAATTTCAGATTTTCGTGTCAACACGTTAGGGATTTCTTAAAGGACGTCAGTTCGGAAAACTCAATTATGAACCCGACCTTCTCCTTTTACAGATGTCATAGCAAGGATGTTCAGGATAGAAGCAAAGTCAAGGAAAACGTTTACTTTCGGAAAAGAGTTTGTATACAGAATTAGTCATCTGCGCTTTCACTATCATTTATCTATATCCCAAGCAATACGAACAACTTCAGCGACTCAAGAAACTGAATGAAGAGCAACTGAAAAAAATTAATAATGAAATTGATAAACTAATGAAAGAGCTTAAAAACCTCAAGAATGATGTTAATAAAGGCGAGGATAAAGAAAAATGAATCCTTTTTCGATTCAGTCTTATCTAGGTAGGTCGTGAGAAAATGCTGTATTTCTACCGCCTGGAAACATGTAGCTCTCTCAATTCAATTTTCTAAATTTTTGTGTTCACACGTTACCTCTTTAGATTTTTTTTTTAGATTAGAATGCTGCCTGTGTGTAAGGCGCTTGAGTCCATTCGGTTTGTCAAGCCGATTTTTGATGCAATTCCACAGGGATCGATTTATATCATGTCTCGGCATTATACTAAGGAACTCTATGAGAGGGCCCGTGCTGTTGAGAATGCACATTTTTTAAAAATCGTTCGTATCTCCAATAACAATATAAATTTATATATACTTATTTGTCCTTTCACATCCTTCCACATCTGTGGCCGTAGCAAAATGAACAGCTCAAAAATTTACGGAATAAAATTGCGAGGGAGAATCGCATGAGGGAGCACAAAGGGAATCTGAAGCGGGAAACTCAGCAAGAGGAAGACAATCGCAATTTACATAAAACACAAAATGTGATAACCCAGCAAGCAGATAGTTAAAATGGTTTTTGTAAAAATTTTAGTAAAATTATGTCAGAGCGAAGCATTGCCAAATCGATCAGTAGGCCGAAGCATATCTGCTAACTATTTGACAAACCCCGTTTTTGGAAAATAAATTCAAAATTTTTTATTCGCTACCATGTGGACCTGCGTCCGACACAGATGTGGAGCAACCAATGTGATCGAGTTCCTGAAAGTGGCCAACCGCCAGAACTGCCACTTGACTGAACAAGAAAAGGCCAAAATCGTTGAGGCCAAGGTGAACACCGAACATAATCCAAAATGATTCAATATTAATTCTTACTACTCTCCCTAGAGCTCGGCAAAGTGGAGTAAGCAAGTTGATAATTTGTTGCAGGTACGTAGCACTCGATGCACAATTGAGATCTCTACCAAATCGCATTGATTTCCTTAGAAACGCGAAATGCTGTCCTTGATTAAGGAATATATCCTGATGCAGGAGCACTACGTAAACCTGCGATTATTAACTAACAAACGACTGCTGACCTATGCAACGAAATACCTACATGTTGCTAGAACGAGTTCTCCACACTGAACTGATAGTTAATACTAGCCGTTGATATGGGATACGGGACGGTGGTCTTCACCTTATTCATTAAAAGTACTCATCATTTTATTTAAAATAGTTTGTATTTCTCATTTACAGTTGCTTTACAGGAAGCGTTACATAACACGAGGTTTCAAAAAAAATATTAAAGAACAGAAAACTTACGCTGCTTTCAATTGTTTTCTTCGTGTGTAAGTTTATATATATATATATTAATATATATATATTTCATATAGTGCCAGACAACATTTAAAACAAAGTTTGTGGGGAGGGGGCAGACTTGCAAATTAATATGGCATTTAAAACATTTATAGAGACTATGCGGGAAATAAATACGAAATCAGCATTCAAAATTTGGATCATATAATAATAGATAGGGTATACGCATAATATGTAAGGTGAATAACTTAAGCTCTATAATAAGATAAAAGATTTTGTTGTGCATTTCGTTAGTCGAACTCAAGTCAAGAATATATATATATATCTATATATATTTTTATAAGTACATTTTAAAATACATTTGTGGTAAGTAAAGTGTGTTCAGTGTGCGTGTGTAGGTTTTGAGCAACTTGGAGAGCTGTTACAAGTACTACAACTAAAACTAGAACTAAGTAGAACTAAAAACTTGAATGCGTTCGGGCGTATTCACAAATCACTTGACTTGGTCAAGTGCTGAGCCACAAGACACGCGCCTCTCGACTCCCGCCCCAACCGCTGCTAAGTGCTGTGTCTGTCTGTGTGTGTGAGTGTGCGCGCGTGTGTGAGTATGTGTGTGTGTGTGTGTGAGGTAGGCTGTATGCTTGGGCTGTTCTTGTATTCGGGGCGAGAGTCCTTTAACTATATAAAATAATATGGCATACTTTTGTGCGCCACTGCAGCTGCTAAGCGAAATGAGCTGCCTGCTGTCCAACTCTGTCTCCGTCTCCGTCTCTGTCTGTGTCTGTGTGTGTGCTTCTAGCTTTTAAATACTGGTCAAACAATGCCAGGAATGTTGTGAATTGCAGCTCAATGTGTTCCTGTCCGTGTCTGCGTCTGTATCTGTATCTGTATCTGTGTTTATGTTTGTGCTTGTGCCTGTCTGTCTCTGGATACAAAATTGATTCTTAGTCTAAAATTTAACTTTAGCTACGCCCTACGTGCTAAGTGCTACGTGCTACAAAGTTACAGCTACAACTATAACAACGATGAAAACGATGATAATCAAGCAGTTAACAGGCAGCTCGGCGCTGCTCTAACTGGGCAACCGCTTGCTGGCCAGCTCCTGCAGCTTCTGCAGCGCCAGCGTCTTGTTAATCTCCACCAGATCGCGACTATGCTTGGCCGCCTGCAATTGTACCTCCAGTATTTTCATGCGCATCATATGCTCCTTGCTCTGCATCTCCATGAACAGGCGCAGCTCGAAGGAGCTGCCCGTGCTGGTGCTGCTGGTGAGCGCGCCGGCGGCGGCGCTGCTGCTGCTGCCACCGACGACGACGCTGCTGCTGCTGCGCTCCAGTGCCTGACTGTCTGAGGATTGTGGCACAGCTGTGTTCAGTGGCAGTGGCAGTGGCAGGGGCAGTGCTGTCTGTTGCTCCTCGCTGGCCAGACTGCTGCTGCTCGTGCGCTGACGCTTGGCCATTGGCTTCAGCAGATCATCGTCGTCCTCATTGTTATTGTTGTTGTTATTGTTGTGCTGATGCTGTTGCTGCTGCTGCTGATGCTGCTGCTGCTGCTGCTGCAGTGCCACGGCCTGCGCCTGATGCTGCTGTAAAGCAACAGCGGCTGCTGCTGCGCTCGGGAATTGGCCGCTGCGCAACGCATTGAGCGCCTCCAGCGTAGCGGATATGTTGTTCATGTTGAAGCTAGGCTGAAAGCCGGCCATGTCGCTACCGGTGGGCGGCATGAAGGCGCCACCAACGGCACTCGTGTCCAATGCTGCGGCCGCCGGACTCTCTGACTCGTGCAGGCCGTTGCGACTGTGATTGGGCGACACACTCAGACGCTCACCATTGGCGTGGATGTCGCTGCTGTGATTGTTGTACGTCTCATTGAAGGTCTCGTTGGTCTCCTCCTCCTTGATGTCCACATCGCACAGCTCCTGGGGCGGTGTGCGACTGCTGCAATGGGCAATTGGCAATCGGGCAAATTGGAAAATTAGTTTCAGTTTCTAGTTCATCCGCTTCTGTGCTACTCACTCATCCATGTCGTGCTCGTCGGCATTGAATTTGTAGTCATCGCGATATTCGAAGTCCTCCTCGAGAGCCAGTGGTATTTTGGAGTAGTCGATGCCATCGAGCGCCTCCGACTTGCATGCCTTTTTCGCCTCCTGCATAAAGTCCCAGACCTCGAAGGTGAACGGCGAAGGCTTCTTGCGATCGGCCACCTCAGCGCCAAACCTGGCCAGGCGATTGTTATAGTCAAGTATCTCATTACGCGTGCAGGCTGAAAAGGACATCAATTGATTAGCTTGGAGTTTCGAGTGAACAGAGGCAGCTCGCACTCACCTTTCATGCGACGCCATTGCTCCTTGAGGCGATTGCAGGTGCGATCGGTGCCAAATTGATTGGAAAACTTCTGATGTATAATCTTCCAGGCCTTGTTCTTGACGGCAGTCAGGCCGGCATCGAGTCGTTTATTCTCGATGATGCGCATATCCTTGCGGCACAGATCCAGCAAGTATTTCTTCTCCTGATGATTCCAGTTCTGTGTGCGCTCCCGTTTCTTATACATGTTCATTGATGGACTGTTCATGTATTGCGTCATTTCTGTAAATACGAAAAGCGAACGGATTTAGATGATTGTCAGAGAGCAACACAATTCCATTGTGCTCTACCTGTCTTCAGATCCACACCCTCCAGCAGATTGTGGTTGGTGCTCTGCCAGTTGGCGGCTATCTTCATAAAAGCCTCCAGATCGTTGGCCGTGTACTGTTTGTTCACCTGCAACAATTAGAAAACAAGTTAAGAAATTTGCATCATGCCAGTTACACGTTAATTAAATCCGCTTTATAATAACCAATCCCAACTCATCGAGCTACTTGGGCATGCAAAGCTTGTGCTGCTTCGAGACTTGTGAAATGCTTTAAGACGCACTCGAAGATTCATTGAACCTGAAGTTTTCGAACTTAAATTCCAATTGCCAGCAAAATAAAGCCAAAAGTAAAGAGCGCAAAACAAAAACAAAAGAAAGAAGGATTCGAGCTCGTTCGTTTTTATTTTTTTTCGCTCTCTCTCTGATTTCTGACAAACGCGTCTGACATCGTCTGATATTCTGATATGCTGCCAATATGCGATGCCACATTAATTGATTTTCAATTAGCCAACAGACTGCAGTTGCTAGACAAAGGGGCAAAGGCGTGGGTCGAGCTTTGAGGGACGAGGGACGAGCGACGCGCAGCTTCACACGAAATTTAAATGTTTGCAGGCCATTTTGAAATGGGCCAAGATATTATGAATAACAATGATTGCAAATGCATTTGTATAAAGAGAATCAAATATATTGTATCCAAAGAAACAATACACACACACACACACACACAACAATAACACTCTCTCGACTAACAAACAGCTGCCGACATTTTGTGCGCTTTTAGTTGTGTGTGTGTGTGTGTGTATATATATATATATATATATATATTTTTTTTTTTTTCAGGGGCGATCAAACGTCGCACTGACAGCCAATTATATTAAGATCGAATAAACTTGCGCACACACACACATGCAGACACACATACCACTGCACAGAAATTCTTCATAATCGGCTATACATATATGGCCTATATGACCATACTTTATGTATACATATATACTTAATAATACATGTTGGGCGTGTGTGCGCTTGTGTCGTCTCTGTATTTATACCCAAAACTTATGCGCTATGCACATTGGTTAAAACTTGATTTTTAACCAAATATATTAATATTCAGCTAATGATGAATCAAATGTTTATAAAAATGAAAATATTCAATTTAAAAAAATCTGTTTAGTTAAATATTAGAAATATATATAAAATATATTTTTATTTTGCTATAAAATTATTTTTTTTATTAAAATTTTTTTATAATGACACTAGTCCATAGTTTATCATCCGTTACTATAATAAACCCAATTTTTATTTATTCAAAAATGTAAATTTTTATTAAATTATTTATTTTGTAAGACAAAATATTTTTTTACTTGTATTTAATATTTTTATTTTTGTTTAATATTTTTAATGTATATTTAAAATATTATCCCCTGTAAAATTGATCACACTTGAACAAATTTTGGCTTTTAATTTTATTAATTTTAATTGACTTGGAGCCACGGTAATCGCTGTGCCGCTGCCACAAATCGTCAATCTTTAAGTACGTTTTATTGTGCTTTATTTAACTTTATTTCATTTCGATTTTTTTGCAGCTCCCTTCCCTTCTTATCCAAAATGAATGCCCCGCCACCCTCCTCGCTACACCCTCCTCCCGCCTACGGCGGCCTCCGCAGCCCCTTTGATACACCCGCACTGAAAACTTCAGTTCACTTAACGCTGCGCCATGTGTTCAATATTTTTATGCCGTATCTGATTTACAATTTGCATTTGTGAGTACTCATTTATATATGTTTGAATGGATATGTATGAGTATTTAATGGGCATAGACGGAGCGCGCACATACACATATTTCTATGGGTTTTGGAAGGAACTTAGTCATTCAAAATTGCGCTTATGATTACGATTATTAGTTATTACTGTTTGCTGTATTGCCACATCACATGAATGTATTTATTAACAGTTGATAATTATTCAATTTGAGTTAGGAGCTGTCACATTTAAATGCGTACCGAGTGCCATGGAAGAGGCGTGGCCTAGCAGAAGCGAAGCTGGAACATGCTTAGAACAGGAAGCAAAAACATCTTTCTAGAGACACATATATCATATGTAGCCACAGCTGTGTTCATAAAAATAGTAGTGCTGCACTACACAAAACATAAACCAAGTCAAAGGCTAATTTTTCAATAAAACAATCATTTTTGTTTAGCATAGAATGCAAAGAGAATTTAGAAACAAGTCCCGTTTCTTTCAGTCAGCAGAAATTGGTTTTAGACGGTTTTAGAGAAATGCCTTGAGCGTTCACAGAAATAGTAGTGCAGGATGTGAGTAGAAAAAAATAAAAAGGAAATTTTAAATAAAAAAAAAACATGAATATTAATTA